GTATTTAGATAGGATTTAAATTTTCAACCAAAACCAAGAAAGCATACTTAACACAAATTATGCATTTATTACATTCTACACCTTTCAAAATCTTTTGCAGAAATAGACATATGACAGCTCTGTACTGACGAATTAAATAATTCTTCACCAATGCCTGACATCACACAAGAAAGCAAATTGGCATTGCAAACAGGTTTACATCTTGTGCATCACTCATTTCAGAGAAAAGAAAAGAGGAAGGAGGAGTAGAGGGGCAACACTGTCTTTGATCCCACTTATTGTTGTCTTCAGAGAAAAGGATTTAAAAATTAAAATTGGTCCTTTTAGGAATAATACAGAAAGAAGAAAATCTACATTAAGAACAGTCTACTGTTGGCGCATCCATGTCAAAAAATGTACATTCATAAATAACTTTGGGAAAATTTCTGCTAAATCTGCTGTAAGTTCCACGTCTGGCTGTAAGAAAATGAACTCAAACAGTAAAATTACTATCTGATGGAAAACAGTCAACTAATCTTTGCAGTTTTTGGATTGCCACATGGCAACTCAGACTAAGCTCCATCAAAAGTCATTTCATTATGAATTTTTTGAAAAAATCATACAGAAACAAATAGATCCAATAAAATGCAAGTGTGCTACTGATTTTAAGAGTGCATCTGCAGCTATTTGACTATTGTGTAAAAAGTGATTAAAATTTACCATGAGAAAACAACAGATTTAAAATGCTTCTGGAGAAGAAGAAATTATAAGAATGCATTGAAATATAAATAAAAATGCATACTACTTAGATGTCAATGGTATAGCTAGACATAGATTTATGTCAATATATCTCCAACAAGTCAGAATTTGATTTGAAATCTCTTAATATTCAAACAAAGCACAAAGAGAAACAAAAACTAGTCTTTTAAACTATGTTTGCTGACGACAGTAATCCACAAGAACAAAAGAAGAAAATTCATCAGTTGAACCAAATTTTCTTTAAAATGACAGCAAATAGTAACTGAACTTGTCAAGAACCTAAACTTCTGAACAAAATCATTTTGCTCAAAAGGCAATCTTAGCATATCTTAAGTTTAACCAGCTGCATACTTAAAATAAGTTCACACATTAGGTATGGTTTAGAAGGTAACTAAAGGTTAGCAGACAAGTTATCATATTTTATACAAGCATTCTTGATCTGTCAGTACAATCTCACAATCCAGAAGCTGTAAAGAAAACGACACACTGCCCCTCCTCCGGCATTATGGAACCTAGAGGGTGTTCGAGAGAAGAAATCGGAGGAGGAAGTCACAGAGTAAGATGTATAATCACAAATCAACATTATTACGGTAATGCAAAATCGATTTTTAGGTACTTAGTTAGAGTGGAAATGACCACTTAAGAAATAGAAACAGTCAAGTAAAATTGTAATAGGAAAATAGGAATTAATATACATTAATGACATCACTCACAAGAAAAAACAAAACTCTACCTTAACATGATAAAGGGGTATTTTGACGATCCATTTGTGCTCAACACAAACCAATGATACTCAATATACTTTTCACACACACAATACATACATGGTACATTTTGTAAAATAACACTGGAAGGGCTGTTCCGTAGACATCGGCAAAGGCACCACTGCAGTATAAATTCCTGAGCAGTGTGATATATGGACATATTCATCTTTCTAACTTAGATTTAAGCTCCTACAGTACTTTAAATTAAAAATGGTTCTTCATGATTTCTAGATTGTTCACAACATAAATTTAAATTGTGCATGCTCTGTTAACAACACATTACAATTGTATCCTTGTATGCTTTTTATCTTTTAGAAAAGTTGATTTTTGTCATCATGACCACCAAACTATTAGAATTTTAAATCACCATGACTGCTGTACAGCAAAAGATTTAATAAGGTCTTAATTTTAAGTTTTACTGTATATAACGCCTAGCTAGATGAAGAAAGAGGAAAGGACTATCACAAATCTCTGCATTACATACAGCACACAATCAAGCAAAAGAAGAAATAAAAAACAGAGACAAAAAATGACAAATTCAACAACAAATGTGATTAAACAGGGTTGAACAATGATGATAGGCAGTACGTGGCGTAGAAAATCAAAGCTGCATCTGCTACATATGAGAAATTATGAGTAGCTTGAGGCTAAAATGCAACTATACAATTCCATTTAACCCATTACAATTTGTTAGCATGGTGGACTGTCAAATGTAAAAAAGAGAAATAACATAATTTTTTGAAGAAAATTTCAATGTTTAAGAAGCAGGCACTAGTGTAACATTCCTTTGAACTTCTGCTTCACTTCTAAAAAGAAACTCCCCCAAACAAAATATCTACAGACAAGCCAGAAAAAGAAAAAAAAAAGTTGAAAAGAAAATGTATATTCAGCATTTTCAAATAATAGAGACCTGAAACTGTCTTTCTTTGAAAATTGCTTCATTTCTCTTAAAAGCAGGCACTGATGATATGCTTCACACAAAAATATAACCAAAAGTTTTAAGAAGAAGAAGAAGAAAACAACACTTTAGTTATCCTCCCTATATTTAATCCCATGCAACACAAACGAAAAATTATGTTTACAGAAAATTTCTTCCCACTGGTTTGAGTAGCTGTTTAAATGGCTGTAGGCACAAGATAATGTGCTTAGTACATCACAGGCAGCGCTTTCATTATGCAGAATTCCCATTAATAAGTACCAGGGCATGCTGGCCTTGGACTAGAAACTAAATTAACTGATAATCAACAACAACAACAATAGGGAAAGAAGCATGTACTCATTCACCATTAAACCAATAGGAGTCTGGTTAATCATCTTGCTTTCTTTTCTAAAAGGAATAGATAGAATCAAAGTACATAATTACAAGCTTTGATAATCAGGAGCATAAGATCACATCTTGTAACAATCAAGTTTATAACTAGGATACAATCTATACTTAGATAAATTATGAGGTATGCACAAACTTGGGAGAGCAATCAGTTAGAGACTATAACAACCAGGGACCCATACCCACTCAATCCCTGAAATAATACTAGATACCCGTCTCATTCTTTTATCAGAGGTAGCATTACAACACTGATAATGCTGAGGGTTCAAAATAACAAGTTTTTAACGGTTAGAATTTAAACAAAATATTAAGAGTATTGTAAAGCCCATTCACTGTGTGCGATTGACATCATAATTATAGTATACCTACAGATATAACTCCAAGGGACAAATACAATTGTAATAACTCCACCAGTAAGCTAAACTCTCTTCAATTTGCTGACATTCAGACTTAGCTTTAAAAAGAGATATAATTTGATCATTCATTCATATATGAAAAATATATCGCAATTTTAAAGAATATCACTGATTAGTATCTCCATCAGTGTACAGTATGTATAAGTGCTTTACCACAGCACACCATTACAGGGTCATAAGATTCACAGTTTTCCAATTAAACATAATACTCACTACGAAAATAAATTTGACTGCATGATCAACACACAACTTCACAAAACAGACCATAAAATTTTTACAATTTGTTGTTTCATCAACATTAAAATATACATCTTCATTTGACAAAGCAATACATTAATGGAAACAGAAACCCACTTAAATCATAAAATAGAGGTAACTTTCACATAAAACAGGTATTCATTGCAACTTTCAGCAGCAATGTATTTCTTTCTTATTCTAACATGAATTTCATCTTAGTGTATTTGTACCATCAGTATGTTACCACTTATTGTTCTAATCTAAAACCATAGTTCCCACAGACATATGTTACATGGAAAATAGTTGAAAAATAAGTTTGTCCCAAGCAATAAAATGTTCTCCACATGCAAAATAATTTGCAAGGAAATTCACCCAAACATAACTGGGGACTGGTTGTGTCCCTCCCTCCCTCCCCCCTCCAAATTCTCAAATATTATTTTGTGCCTAAGACTCAGGTTATCAGTAACAAGTTAGTTTTCATCAAAATGCTCAAACATTCTACAAAGTTGGGAAGTGCCTACCATAGTTAGCATATAAATTCTGTATGTACTAAAATTACAGTTAAATTGTCAAGGAATTTATTTGGAAAGATAACAGATGAGCATTGTCATAGTTGTAATCCGCTCTTTGTTCGTAATCAAAGCATCACGTTGCTTGATTGATAACCAAACTCTTTAAAATATAATGTACTTCCTACTTAAAGAATCGTAATGAAGTGTCCTTGGCATTTGAGAAAACTATTAGTTTACTAGGTTGAACCATCCATCTTGGCAGGATAAGCAGCAGTAGATGATTTCACACCAGATTCTCCATCAGCAGAATATAGTGGACTATCCACATTAGAGCTGGATATCTGAGTTGGAGGAAGGTAATGAGCAGAGCTTCCACCTCCACATGCAGAAGGTACTGGTTCTGAGATAGCTGCAAAATAAAGATTAGATTAAAATACATCACACAAGTGATGTTAACAAAAAAAAATATTATTTGAAAAGAATAATAGTTCTGCAAAACAGGAACAAATGCACCAAATCTGGCAGAATAATTTTCAAAATATTACACACGTAATTGTGATCGTACCTGTATCGTCACCACTGCCTCCACCTGCCTCTGTGATATTTATATTGAGATTTTCATCTTTTCGAGCCACAACATCATCATCATTCAGAGGCACATGTTTGTCGGTAGCAATATTGCATTGCTCATTGTTATTTAACAGATCTCTACCCCCCCTGACTGCTTCAGCATCACCACTGTTACCTACAACAGCCAAAGGCCTTGAGCTACATGAGCTGCTGCCCTTATTCCCTGTTGATCTCCTTTCATTAGGTGCGACTTCCGATGGGATTGCTGACGTACTACTGGAGCTTTTCTGGACAGGAATGAGCCCATTTTCTCCTGCTTGAACATGAGCTGCACGTTGCTGTTGTGGTGATGCTTGGGGTGATCTTTGGGGTGATCTTCTGGGCGACCCTTGAGATGCAGAAGGTGGAGGTTGAGGTGACGGAGATTTATTGAACAAACTTACTGGATTTTGGAAAAGTCCTAAAAGTCTTTCCAAACTGGATGGGACCTTATTTTCATCTGTTAAGTTTGATGTAACAGAAGATATACCCATTTGCACCCAAGATATTTTCCTTGATCTAGTTTGGGCCTGAGGCTGCGACTGAGCCTGGGTTGGAGGGTGTTGCTGAGACTGTTGCTGTGCTTGGGGTTGCTGCTGCTGAGTTTTTACAGGCACTTGCAAAGGGCGATTCACTTGACTTGATATAGAAATTTCATTACATGGTACCTGAATTCCTTCTGAGCCAGTGGAGCTTGCACTAGATAAGATGTTTCTAACTTCACTGTCAGTATCAGGAGTAACAGTTCCATTGTCATTGGAAGAGCTGTGACCTTGATTGCAGGAAAACCCTAATGTCACTGAGTTTGCTGCTACTACAGGAGATGTAGGTTCCACAACAGTGACTTTGAACCGGGAAGAGCCTGACGGAAAGAAGCAAGTAGGGGATGTGGACGGGGAGGCACTAGGGGAAGGAGACATGGAATCTGACTCAGAAACCTGAGAAACCCTGAAGCGATTTCTGGCAGGTCCAGGACTGGGGGCGGGAGAAGGCATAGGGCTAGATACTGGTGACGGTACTGGTGAAGGGGCAGGAGAGCGCAGGCGACCTTGACGTCGGGGCTCAGCAAGCAGGCCGCTGCTAATGCTGCAATTATCCTGAGCAACAGATCGCAGCAATGTCTGGCACGTGAGGGAAATTTTGCGGCTGTTGATGGACGACAGTCTAATTCGCCTGTCAGGCCGCTCTGAGTCAGAAACTTCACTAACGTCTTCCTCCTCTTCCACTTCAACATCAGGTCTTGGTATTTGCTCATTTCGAGAGCAGTAGGAGCGAATTTCACTGACCCATTTGCGATATTCACTCACTGATAAGTCCTGCAAAATATGAAACATTGCTGATCACGAGCAGGGGCAAGTTTTCTCAAGGTATTAAAACAGTAGAATAATTTCAAGATACATTTTGAGCTTGATTGTTCAAAATTATTTGAAACAAGTACTAAAACTTACTGGGGGCCTTCTCTTTGGAACATCATCAAGATCAAGCTGTGTAACATTTTTGTTTGATTTCATTGACAATGCAAGAGCCATAAGCCCTGCCATCAAAATTGAGTTGTCTCTCAAGTCTATCCTCTATAAATTAAAAAGAATATTCAATTTCATTCAGGAATTTTAGAAAAGTTTGCACAGAGCCCAAATCTAACAAAAATACTTAGATCAGAGTAAGATAACAGCAAGATACCTGAATGACTGGATTATCTTCGATGACCTCAGCCAAAACAATCGCTCCCTCACATGCCAAATGTGTAGATTGCATACCCAGTCGTAGGAGTGTACGATTTTGTTGCAAAGAGTCTTTCATTGAATGTAAGACATCACTACTTAAAACATTATGGCCTATGTTCAACATTTCTAGAGAGCGGCTTTTGGACTGCAATGAAGAAAATCAGAGAGTAACAGGGTGGTCACTGGCCTAATCTAAAGACTACTGACTATTATTTAAGAGATAGAACATACAAGAGCTCTAGCAAAGTGTGATGATGAGTTACGAGTAAGTCGGTTGTTCCACAGAACTAGAATGCTTAATCCACAACCAGACATCGGTTGTTCAATCAACCCATCAACAATGTGACCAGCACCATCATCTTGAATACTATTATTGCTGAAAATAGAAGCACAATTAGCCTCATGTTAGTCATTTAAATTTTAAGAATTATACGCAGTTAAAGATAATACTTTATCATACCTGACATCTAACAGCTGGAGACATGTATTGGAACGTAAAAGAGCTGCCAACTGCAGTGCATCAGTTACTCCCAAATCATTATCCGCAATATACAATTCTCGAAGTCCAGTGTTCAGTTTCAAGGAACCAACTAAAAATCGTTGTTTAAAAAATTAGTACAGAAAAAAATAAACATTTCTTACCTTACTTAAAGTGAATGAGACATGTACCTAGTATAGTGATAGGGCGCCCACTTAATTTACAATTCTCTAATTTGAGCACTTGAAGATGTGTAGTTATTCTAAGGGAGCGGCTCAAAATGGGCATGATTTGCTCATTCAAGTTTACATTAGATGCTTCAAGTTGTTCAAGACACTGTGTCTGTAAGCAAACAGGGTTCAGTATTATCAACAGTACCCACCCCATTTCAAAGAGAACAAAGTACATGAGCACTAGTTTTAAAATACCTTTTTGATCATACGTGAGCAGGCTTGCCAGCCACGAATAGATATATTTTGGTTCCCTGATATATTCAGATGGCTTGCTGACTCATAATATTCAATCATGTCAAAGATAGCAACAGCACCCTACAATGAGTACAGGAACAGAAACAGATTAGAAAGGCAAGTAAGTGAGTGAATCGAAATGCAGTACTATAAACCTGCATACCTCATCATCCAACGACGTGTCTTCAAGGCTAAGGGTAACAAATTGAATTCTTTTCAAAATTTCTTCAAGACTTTCACCACGAATTGAATCTAAAAGTTCACCCTTAAGATCAAGTAAGCTACATCTTTCACCATTGAATTCCAAAGCCTAGCAGAAGAAAGAATTTTTTGTAAGACTTCAGTTTTTGAATATTTTGAAACACACTATGTATTAATATATTATAGGTCAAAGGAGTACCTCAAGCTGTTTAAGAACTGCTCCAGATGGGCGATGTCCATGCTTCACACAGGACTCAGAGTAGGATGATATTATTTTCCCTCTATCCACATTGTCAGCTGTAATATCAGATCAAAATTAGGATTACATTGCTTGAATTGTTAGCTTATGAATATGGAAAGAATGATTAAAGAAAGGTAAAACAACACCAGAGAAGAACTGATAATAGTGTTAAAAATATGAAACTGCAATGACAGATTAAATAAACTTGATTTGTTTCGAGTGTTGGAGTTCCGCAGTCTGCCCAACAGGAATAGCAATGGTTAGGTTTACGAAACCTAGGGTGATGACAGATGACAGATGACAGCAGGGATCTTAAGCAAGGTACTGTAATACAACTTACCATACTCCCATGGGTTAGGAGCTTCCATGTAGCCTGTGACCAATCTGCCCTCATCTTCTGGGAATGACACCTGCTTACTCAAGGTGTTACGCCTCTCAGATTGAGGCCTGTAGAGGCAACCCCGTGAGAGACTAGCAGTCTCCTGAGTTACAGAACTCATTGTATCTTATGGAAGCATAACCAGAGAATGGTAAATAGGGCGTTGGGTAGCTCTAAGCCCCTGACAGCCTCACTACTAGAACTTCACAAAACCATCTTGGGAGAGAAGCAAATTTTAGACATTCGATGTAAGTCCGATTTTCCGCCTCAGCGGAATGACGGTGTGTAGAACGCGACTTTCCTGGATCACGGAATTTGCTTTCGAAACCATTGAACAAAACACAATAGACCACGCAGGTATTTAACCACACTTGAAAGCATAAAATCCGCGAAATTCCGCGCTGACTAGAGGAGAGGAAGTAGAGGCTGAAAGCAAATGCTGTCTGCTACGAACAAGTGGAACCACAACAGCAGTTGTCGGAAGGCAGTGCGTAAACGAGTGTCTGCAAACTTGGAAATAAGTTTTCAACAAAAATATATACTGTTTCTATCATAAGCCACAATGTTTGCTGTTAAGGCACGTATTCCCTGCTAAGTATTCGAGCATGCTTACTTTTCGCCCTGCAAACAGTTTCTGCTGGTTCGAACTCATAAATGACCATACATTTTAGGGGGTTATGATCTCCACAATAATTTACTTGCAACACCATTTTTTCCGTTTGCACTTACCTGACTGATAATTTTTTTTTTGATATTTCCCATTTTTAAAATAGAGCATTTCATTCTATCATAATCTAACACATAAATTATACTTGCAGTGTCTGTCGAGATATTTAAGTCCTCGCCTTCAGTCATCTCTTACACCTAAGTATAAACACAATATTTCTCGATTGTCACAAGCTTGGATTGTTTCGGGAAGCCCATATCAACATAATGGGTCACTCCACGCATGTTTTAGCTGCTCTACAAATTTTGCAGCTGCTGCAAATGAGGTGGGTTCAAGAGATAGTTTCTCTCAGCAGTAACTTTTACTGTCATTAATTTAAATTTACCCTTGTTTGCTTACAGGTTTTAGGGAAACCAATTTCAAGTTTAGCTGAAAGTGTCACAGTTCCCTCAGAACCTGACGTTTTGTACCACATGATAGAAGTTGAGATAAGAAGTTCAGATCGGGCCGTCCTTGTCAGCTACAACAGAGCTATTTCTCTGACGGCTGAGAACCTAGGCCTTACTATATCACACAAGTAGGTATTGTAATGTATGGACGATTTATGTTTCGTACTTCACCCAGATTCTAATCTCTCGTCTGTTTTTCAGTGAAGTGGGTGCAAAGCCTCATATTAGAAGGTGGACGGTGCTTAAATCACGGCATGTACACAGGAAGCACGGAGTACAGTATGAGGTGCGAACTTATCACCACAAGATCAAATTAGAAAGACTTACAGGATCCACTGCTGATACTTTCCTGGAATATATTCAAAGAAATTTACCTGAAGGTGTTTCTATGAGAGTCTGTCGGGTAAGTAATAACATTGACAAAAAAGCTGTTTGAGTAACACCTAGTTGGTCCACTTGATTTCTACATTTTGAAATAACAAATTTTGTTTTCTAGGCAAGAATGGAGAAACTTCCAGACCATCTTCTTACTCCTCCTTCACCTGTAGAAAATTAGATAGTGGTGTGTGAAGATAAATTGAGACAAGTACGCATTTACGAGTCTGAAATCAAATATTTCTTTTTTTCTGTTTAATAAACCAAAATGTAAAATATACATCCTTTTTTTTTTTTGAGTTGCCAGTATATAATCTAAGCACATCAATTTCTCAACATCAGAAGCACAAATAACATCAGCAACGTACCTTTAACTTGTGCCTGTGAAGTTTACAACGTCTTATATTATAAAAACATTTCCCCTATCTTTCGTAAACCATGGTAGAGTAGGATCAATCAGAGCTTGATTAGAAAACATACTACATCAGAGCTGATGATCTAACAGACTGGCCTCTATCTGATCTGTTTCATAGATGAATACAAAGTATACAATATATTTGGCTAAATTAAAACTAATCGCTATCACTACCACTGCCACTGCCTGAACCACTATCGCTGCCACTTCCACTTCCTGATCCACTTCCACTCCCAGACCTACTTTTCGCAGGGCTTCGTGAGGCACTTCTTGCACTCCTCGCAGGACTACCAGAGGTACTTCTAGCTGGACTTCCCTTACTCCTAGCAGGACTACTCGCACCACTTTTCTCACTTCTTGCAGGACTTTCACTTGCACTTCTTTGACTTTTAGGACTTGCACTGCCACTCTTATGACTGCGTTTTGGGCTTTCGGAACCTGATCTTGATCTTGAGCCAGAACGTGATCTAGAAGCAGATCGTGACCTCGAGCCAGATTTAGATCGGGATCGTGATCTTGATTTAGACTTGGACCTTGATCGTGATCGTGAACCAGAGCCAGACCGAGAGCTTGAATGGCCAGATCCTTTTTCATCGTCACTTCCACTTCCTGAAAATATTCAGACAATAAAGATGAGTTACACAAAGCAAACAATGGCATGAATGTCAAGAATGAGATATTAAGGGGAAGTACCAGATCCTGAGCGACTCCGGCGACGGCTTCTCCGGCTGGAGTTACTGGCCTCACCATCACTCTTATTACCACCATCTTCTCCACTCTGAGCACCTCCTTCCTGAGGAGTACCTGCACGCTCTTTGAGAGTGGACACAAATAAAGAAAATTAAAAATATTTATTTATAATAAATGAACATTTTAGTAGTGTGGTGTGTGTTATGTTAATTTACCTCCTTCTTCTTCCTCTTCATCATCATCATCCTCTTCCTCTTCATTAGGTGGTTCCAATTGTCTTTCACGGTACCTCTGCATTTTATATTCTTGAGCTGACAATGGACAATGTCGCACAATCAACCTAGTGTTATTGGGTGCAGACCCTGCCTTCTGTCTGCGTTTACTGAGACGAACCCTGATAAAATTTAAGCATGGAGTGCGAAACACAATTTAAGTTGTAGGTATATGATAATTATTTAAAATAAGGGAAATAAATTACCTCGTCTCAAGTTCATTGTAGTAAATACCATCTTGCCTCATAACAAGGAAGTAATTTTCCTCATAACCTTTTCCTGATGTTTTACTCTTCACATTCCAATTATATTCTCTTGCCATTTTATATTCATACTCTTCATCATCCAGATATTCACGTTCTGCCACAAAATCAGCTTTGCGTTTATCTAAAGTTTCCTCTGTTGGCAAGAAGTATGCAACAAACTGTTCTCCAGTTTCATCTTTCACACCACTGAAAAGGAAAATATGAATAAACTAGATGCATTAAAAAAAGATAGCGAAAGAAATATGAGGAAATCGGGAAGGACATACCGAATCATGGCTTGTGACATCATTTCTATCTGAGAATGCACGGGACGTCCAATTGGAGCAGGGTCAGAATCAAACATAACTTGGGCACAAGGGTACTTCCAGACCTACCAAACAAAGCAAATGAGGATTGATAATGCATAATACCTAAAATTTTACAAGGTTTAAAATCAAAACAGAACAAAAAATATGCCTTTCGAACTACATTAAGGCAATGAACCAACAATATGCAGGTTATTACCTTGAAGTCTGGGAAGACTGGCAGAATTTCAACAGCTGTAACACCTGGTTTACTGTAGTGCTTTTCAATAGGTTGCTTTGCATCCTCGAAGGTTTTCTCAATGGCACGTATTTGAGCATCCCGATCCATTGCCAAAGTTTCTTCCTACAAGTTACAAAAACAATATTGTCAAAAACTTTAAAAAAAAAAAAAGCCTTTGGGACCAAAAAACAGGTGAATAAGAATAATTCCTACCTTCATGTCCTTCTTGATACTGAAGCCAACCTTAGCTTCAACCTTATCCATAGATTGAGGTTGGAAGCGAGTCTGTTCAGTTGAAATGTATTCAGTACGACGCAACCATGATACTGCTTTAGCATGATGCCTGGATCTACAAATAAAGATTATACTTTAAAAAAGTGATTCAACAGAAATCCACGAAAAATATTTGATGTATTTCCTTTCTCTATACCTTTTTGAGTCTTGCAAGGTTGGAGCATCTTCTTCAAGCAGTTTTTCATCGGCAGGGTCAAGAAGAGCCCCAGAGTCAGCATAGGTATCTTTATTAATAAGATCTATTGTTACACCTAAATCATGCTCAGTGAGAACTTCATACTTGTAATTACGTTCCAGGGATGTAGGATTGTATTCAATGAACCTATAGTAAAATTAAAATACATTACTGCTCTAGAAAAGCATATCAAGAATTTTCAAAACAAGGATGATGGCTTACCGTGTAGAGGCAAATGGATATTGGATAAATTTGGGATCAAATGGAATATCAGGTAGTGTGTTGCAATATTTCACTCGACAGACTAGTTCCGAACTGACAACAGAATAGAGAACTGAGAGTTAGTACATTAAAAATATAAGATATAATGTGTCATAAAGGTAGCAATGTGATAAAACTAGCAGATATTCTGCTCTAAGTATAATGTAATTTCTCTCACCGTCTTTCTCCACCGGGCCTAACGGGAACTTTGTCCCGTTCTGCATTTGCACCGGTTTGAATAGTAGGAGGCATGACTTAAGCTAATTGACAAGAGTCCGGTAAACAAATTTGTGTTATGACGTTATGATGAAGGCTTGAACAAGGACATTTCCAATCAGAAGAATTAAGCAATCTTTTCGTTGGAGAAAATTACTATCGAAAATACTTTAGTGAAAAGGGCAACAGATAATAGGACCAACGGTACTTTATATTTCTCAGAGAACAATCAATAGAATCAATCGTTGTCAACTAATCTTCAAAGTTTGCGAGGTTAGGGTGCAAGACCCGCCGCCGCCGCGCAGACGCAGATGATCGCGTTTGTTGTTTTGTTTTGTTTGCTGTTTGAACTCGCCGATTTTGGTAACACTGTTTTCCCACAGACATTGGGCGGTAAACCGGACTTTTTTGAACTGAACCATTTAGGGAATCTTGAGGCTTGAGAAAGGGCCGCCCTTTCTCAAGCTTGAGTCTTTTTTCTAGCCTTTTCTCAGGCTTGAGGTAATTCAGCTTTTCCAGTGCTACAGCAACATGAACATGACTATTTTTTCTAACAGCCTCTTGAAGTTGTAATGCCTCTGACTTCCAAAAGAGGCCAAAAACAACTGAGAAGTCACTCTTTATTCAATATTATTTATTCTATGTTATTATCACACGAAATATTACAAACACTGTGCTCTTCTTTTTTTATTAGTTAAAAATACGTATAAAACAGCAAATATACAACATCAAACAAATTTGTATACTTAATCTAAATCAATTTTCAGTCCGAGTTTCATTTCCCCCCTAAGAACAGTGAGAAATAATACGGAATTGTCAATGGTTGCTTCATACAGCTGATCTGTGGACCGAACAGGGTTATTGTTGACAGCTACAATTATGTCCCCGGGCCTGAGATTAGCACTGAAAAACGAGGTAGATATTTTAGAGCAAAATCTCAACAGAAAATAATGATCATTAATATTGAAGAAAGTACCCACCGCATAGCAGGAGAGAGTGCATGAACATCAACAACATAAACGCCTGCTGAAGCTTTTATGGGAAACTTGAAGTGCTTTTCAAGTTCAGATCTCAAATAAGGAGTGAGGGAAAGACATGTAATTCCAATGCTCCTGGCAGAATTTTTGTCCTTCTTCTGAGATGGTTTGTGAACTTCTAAAATATAATATAATGATTTATTTTTTTTTCAGTGATGTCAGTGGAAAGAAATCTGGCAATAAATCTTCAAAAATATACTCACTGTTTGGATCCTCCAAAAAATCCTTCACAACATTACTAGGAATTGCAAAAGAAATACCATGCAATAACTTCATAGAATTAACTCCAACAGCCTCTCCATCCAGATTTACTAAAGGTCCTCCAGAATTCCCTTGCTGTAAATAAGATTTCTTAAGAAGACATTTTCACAGGAATGGAAGGCATTTGGGATCTACATACATTGATCGGAGCATCTGTCTGGATATATTCCATCTCTTCAGATGGAAGTCGTAACTCTGTGCTTTTCCTTCCAACTGTGCTAACAACCCCACAGGAAACAGAGTTGGACAGGCCAGCTGGGCTACCTATGGATATTACCCATTCACCTGGACGCAAAGTGTCTGATGAGCCCAGTTTCAGAACAGGTAAATTTTTCTGAAAAGGCAAATTTCCCTCTAAACTTGATAGATAGATTGACAAATACATAATAAGGGGATAGTATCCAAAATATACTACTGACTCACAGCTGGAATTCTGATTGTTGCTAGATCAATCTTTGGATTAATGGATACTACTCTTCCTTCAAAAACACGCCCATCAAGAACAGTCACCTTAAAAAAAAAAGTGGTCTTAACAATCAAGTATATATCTTGAGATTAAATAGTTGCCAACATAAAATGGTAATTACTTGGATAGCCGCTTTGTTGTACACTGCATGAGCGTTTGTGACAATAAGTCCATCCGATGACACAATAAATCCGGAAGCTGCACTGATCTCTTGGTAACCGCCAACAACATGAGATCTAGAACATAAAAGTAACAATTACGGATGGGTGAAACGGCAAACAGACTAAGCAACATGAACTTAACATGTACTTACGTATGTAAACTCACAACACTTGGGGCAACTATGTCTACAACATCAGCTACAAAGTTGAACCTTTGTCGAGGAGTACCAGAGCCAGAATCTGATCCATCTGTGGGTCGTGCCGCCGATACGGTTGAGAACAGTTTGAATGACCGGCTTTCGTCGTCACTGTAATTCCACAGAATACCGGCACCGACAGCGGCAAGGACACCAGCCGAGGCCATCCATTTCGATTTAAACGTCTGATGTCCTTCATCTGGCGATCGACTTGAATTGTTTTCTTCATTCCATCCATCATTTTTTGATAGTCGTCGAACCGAACTGACAGAGAAAATACTGTGTGTCTGCTTCAGTTGAAAACAAATACGACGTGGTGATCGCAGGGCCATGATTGTCATGCAACTGTTCATTTCACTCAACGGAGGTAACGCCCGTAAGTGTTTATCGTTCCATATCGAGACAACGGAAATAAAAATGTACCAGTCCAAATCAAAATGGTCCAATAAATATTTTCCCTCAACAACAACTTTGAGTGCGAATAGACTTGTCAGCGTTAATGGCAGTTTACCAGGGGGTAGTGATGTGGGGTGGGGTAGGGGTAGTAGGGTAGTGGGGTGGGGGTGGGAGGACGGAAGCGAAGTGGCGGAGCTACTCGCCCTCCATCCAGTCGCCCCAGCTACTTTTAAGTTGTTATTATACGGTACCGAGTCACAGCATCCCGGATATTTTAAAATTTTGCTCCCAAGTACTTACTGCAAAATGTGAAACTTTTCTAAGGTTAGAATATTTTGACCCGTAACTCAACAGCTGAGGTTAAGCTGTCATATGAGCAATAGAGATTCATTTCTGATTTTGGATTTTGCCCAAATGTCCTGCATAGCTTATATTTTGATATTGGCAGGGAGTCAATAATCTCTGATGCAGCTGAAAAGCATAAATTGTTAAATGTTAATTTTTATGTGTTACTCAAAAGTGTATTGTTGATTTGTTTTATTCTTAGAGCTATGATAGTATTGGATCGAACCATCGCATGGTGCTGGTGCCCATTCATCGTGTGACGAGGCGACTGCTGGGCCTGTTTGCAATTCTCCTAGCATTGGCTGCATTAATTTTGTTTCTTGGACAGTTGCGCCATGCCTATCAACAGCACCTTAAGTTCAAGCGGTATGAGACTTACAGTCGCTATGTAAGTATGAGTTTGTAAATTTACGTCTATTGTTCTTATTTAGGAAAAAATGTCTGGATATTCTCAGGGAGCTTATAATGTATATTTTTGGCAGGTGGATGGTGTTACTAATGATTTGCTAAAGCTAGAAAAACTTGCTAACAACTCAAATATTAGTATGGACCAATTTTTTGTAGCACTTGGACAACCACCTCAACATGAAAAGGAAAAATCTCTAAACATTACTGAAAACACCAGTAATAGCAGTATAGAGCATTTGTCTGCTCGGTGACACATGTACAATTAAACTAAATATATAAAATGTAAATATATTAAGGAAACCTCTTTTTAAAATTTCAACACATCCTAAGCCAATGTAATTCTTTGTATAGTTTATCAAAAGTATCTGATTTGTTAATTTGATAAAGTTAAAGTATCACACACCAGGCCAACTTTGACTTTATTCATAGCATTAGTCTGTTAACTACATGAAAGACGATGTATTTTATGGAGGAAATATAGTGTCCATTTCTCTGCAAGATATGTTAATTTATTCCATAGATACATTTTTTACAATATCTTACTTTAGTACAAGAACAAAAATAAGAGTAGAGTTTAGCCCTCGCATAGCAGATTACATGTACTGATCATAACTGTACAGAATTCGATGGTTATTTACATAGTTCTAACTCCTCTCAGTGTAATTATACAGAATTTTCGACTTACAGCTGCTACAGCAGTCCTAAAAAGAAAACATTCTCATTAATGCAATTCCTATACTGCAAAGAGAAAAATATGACTAGGTGAAGCATTCCTGCCCCATAAGCTTGGTCACAAATCGCACACTGGCATGTACCAAAGAGCAGGCCTGGGCACAGAATGAAGGAACAACTAACACAACAGCCTCAGGTTTACCCTGGGGTTCTATTTCTCAGGCACAGTACAATTCCCAAATATCTGAATGCACCAACCAAAACCACCCAAGTCATGCACTACGAGTATGTAACTGTAGAAGTCTCATTAGCTACTCTCATTCCACTCGCACCATACCCTAAAACGAATTCTATTTTATCAAACTTGTATTGCAATCATAAGCCTTATGCCCCACATGATACATTATGTATAGATAGAATAAAATAAATCTCAAAAGAAGTCAATTCTGCTTAAAAATCAAAAACAGATGGTACAAAAGAAAAATCTGAGTACAACAGGAATATTATTGTTACATTGTGCACACACAATAACTGAGATTTTCAAGCTAATTGTTTATACTATAACATTAGGAATGAATTAGTACAATGAACGTAAATAAACAGAAAAAGAATTCAATTCCCTACTCGTAAAATTAGTACCCCATAAATTCTTCTCATCACAGTAATAAACTAAAGGCACAAGGTCAGTTTTTTTTTTTCTAAAATAGAGTGATAACAAACAATTAACAGCTCAACACTGGGTGGAGAGGGAGCTCCCCTTTAAAGCAATAATTACAGTGAAAGCAAATAGAAATTATTTAGAAATTTGTGAAAATATTGAGAGGAATGGAGGAAATTTTAGGGGTCTGTCACACAAAAAAGCGGTGGTCACTTTTTAGGCAAAATCTTCTGGACGGGGTCAGAAATCTGTCATACTCTCGCTTGTTTGATATGGGCTATATGGTTAGTGGTAGAGTCCTAGAGGTAGTCCTAGTTATTCATAGTTAGTAGGAGCTTGAAAAGTGTCTTTAAATGGCATTTGCGATAAAACTGCTCCTTACGTCCGATAGAGGCGCGTTACAGTTTACGGTACGTAATGTATCAAACAATGCACTGCAAACTATAACTCGCCCATTTCGGCCATGAGGAGCAGTTTATCGCAAGTGCCATTTCAGGACATAAAGGCACCAATTGTGCTATCAAACAAGCCCAAATACGTCACGATTACTGACTTCATCTAAAAGATATTGTCAAAAAAGTTACACCACCGCATTTTGGCGTGACAGACTCCTGGGAAATTTCAAAGTCTTCATTCTAAAGCCAAAAACTACCACTGATATGGTAGAATAAGACTCCAGAGAATTTTTCTTGATCTATTATCTCTTTACAAGCCAATGTACACGAACAGAACAACATAGTATGGTTTATTCTGTGACAGTGATGTTGTAAAGTACTAGCAAACAAGACATGGCGAGAGAGTCATAAAGAGACTCAACCAAAATATGTTATGGATATATCAGAAATAAGAATATATAATTGTGCTAGCTTTCACCAAAAACAATACAAAAGTCAAAAGTCTTGAATTTCCTTGAAGTAGAGCCAAATAGGTTGATTACCAATACACATTTTTAAAAAGAACTGTATGGCTTGGCAGTGATACAGTACTCATGAGTAATACTGTATTTTGAAAACAGGCATTTGGGAAAGAAGCAGTTCCTTACAGAATAAGTAAGCAGGCTAAAAATTCATAAATAAACTAATAATATAATGCTAGAAAAGGGTAAAATTAAAATCAATTCAAAGTTAAGGCCTTGAACAATAAATTTGCCCAGATGCTGAACAGTTGGAGAAAATAATACTTACAGAATAAAATGACTGGTGCAAGAATCTACAACACAGATTTTGAACTGACTTATAAGAAAAGTTACAAACAAAGAATCAAAGTAAATAAAGCAAAACTTTGATCAAGGTGATCTTGTTCAAAAGAACAAGAGAAATACTGAAAAATGGGAAAATAAGAGTTATCAACAAATCAAGAAGAAAGTATAAAAGGATGTCTAAGGTAAATGTATTGTACATTGAGTATGAACTACACTTCAGATTTGTCTGGTTTCTTGCACGTCAGTTGGCCGTTCAAAATGACTCACTAAGGCAAACAAAAAAAAAGGAAAGAACTTTAATTCTGCAAACCTTGTCAATTTAACTTAAAACAAAAAAAAAACAACATTACATTTACTGTCTTGCCTTGAGACACTATAACAATAGTCAAGCTTGTACGAAGCTGTCAATTTTGTGCATAGCTTTTAACAAATGATCAATATTACCTAACACAGCCATAACTGCACAGTTTATCTCAATACAACAAATGCATTTGAAGTCACTTCTTCTCCTTCGCTCCTTTTCAGATAATAAAAGCAGTCAGTTTTCCACATTCTGGAAAACTAAAGTAACTGTCAGTATTGCAATCAAAGCAGCACAACCCAAAAGAAAGGGAATCATTTATAAACTCATCAACAAGAATATAAAGTATGACAGTTGAACATCAACTGAAGCATCAACAAATATTATTTATTAAATTTATTAGAAGAGCAGTCTTTAGATGTATTGTTTGTTCCTGATTGTATTTAACACCCTTTTATAAGTTGAGCAAAATTTAGTGTACAACAAACTTAACTGTTACAGTTATTCATAACAAATTATTTACACAATTTACAGCATAACCTTACAGTTATGGAGAAGAAAAATAAATATTAACCAAGATGACAATGGCGAAAGGAGAGAGTGTTGCCTCAGCTGAAACCCAATCAAACACACCGGGATTGAAAAAGTCTTAGAAAAAGAAAAAAAGAAAAACATCTTACTGTAACTATGATTCATACATTTTTTTAAGCTAAGGAAAGTAAAAGCTTTTGGCATCTTTCACTAGCCTTGGATATTGAAGGGCAACCACCTAAGATCTTGTGGAAACAAGAAATGTGTTGGTTAAAACCCAATCTAAAGATGAACTACACCTTATAAACATAGACATTTCCGTCGCTTCAGATATTTCTTGACATACAAAGTTATCAAAGCTTAAACTAATTGACAGTTCCAAAAGATAATGCAGTAACTTACAAAGGTATGTGACATACCAAAAGAAATACGTATGATGCCTAACAACAATAGGTAGCCCTTCCACAACCATAACAGTTTCTTATGCTGAGTTAAGAATCATCCTGAAAAATAGGACATACCAGCTTGTAAAGTTTGTCTCACCCTAACAGATTAGCATCACTTCAATATTATGCGTACAGTATGTACTGCAGTACTTCATATCAGCAGAAATTGGCACCAGGAGATGTACATAATTCCTTAGCATCAGCATCATATCAAGAGAATAAAAACCATTTGTCAATAATTAATAAGGAAAGTTCTTTTTTACAAATTTAACATCTCATGAGAAATCGAGAAATTAACCCTATCAAAGAATGTACTAATAATGTGACTGTCATCAATTGATTTTGCAGTCAAAATTTTTGACACTCAGACAGGAGGGGGAGGGTTTAGCCCATAATGGTGAACAGTAAGCAGCAAATTAAAATACTAAGAAGACTCAATAATTGCTTTGAATAAACAAACACTCTGCTTGGAAAAGAGACCATCTCACAATTGAGCAATCTAGATGGCCAAACAACACAAATGAGGCACTAGGGTTGCGCTCAATGATATGCATCACTGACAATTATTTTTGACACCACCCCCACTGTATATGCAAACACTGACTCCAACATTGCTTACTTTTCCACAGTTGAAGGCATGTTTCAGTTTTGGATGGTGCCTCAAGCCCATGCTAGCAGCTGGATGTATTGTTGGCCCATGCTCCTGAGAGTTGTAATTGATGAGTAGGGGGCTGTGGAGCCTGCTGTTTAGCAGCTGAAAAGGAATCAATAAATAAAGATTAAAAATTGAGTCGACATCATACCATTAGAATTTAAGAAAAATTCAAAACTTGACATACTTCTGCTATTATATATTTTTGGAAGGTTCTTGAGTAACTGAGGCGCAGGAAATTCATGAACCCCATGAAATCTGAACCGTGATTCAAAGTCACCTAAAACAGTTTCAAAAAAAAAATCAGAACATTTTCAAATGCAACGACTACTGATCGTAACTTACAGAGACAGTGTATTGATTTTGCAAGAATAGAAAGTACCCATATAACAACACAGCACAAATCTTAACCAGTCCAAGTTCATGAACTTGCAGGCTTCAAATAAGTAAAAAGAAGAAATTAATCTTAAAATCTATAGAAGAAAATGATGGGAAAAAAAAAGAGAAAAAAAGGAGAACTTTTTTAATAACTGAATTCTATGATGTAACTGAGGTTATTTTTAAGCTGCTGTGTTGTGAAATTTGCCACTAACAGATGGCATAAAATACGTACTTAAACTTGAGGTAGATGAACCATTCCTCATTGATGAATTTCTCGTAGGAGGTGGTGGAGGGGCTGCAGTTAAACTTTGGCTCTGCAACAATAATGTGACAAACACAATAAAATGATGGACACATTGAAAGTATAAAATAAAGCTTCTGTAGTTTTAAAGGTACTTACAGGAGGAGGAGGAGGGAATGCTTTGACAGGCTGAGTACGATGAGGTGGAGGAGGTGGCGCTGCTGTCGGGGGCGGTGGAGGAGGAGCGTGAGGAGGTAAGGGCCTCGTCGGTGGTGGCGGAGGTCGCGCAACAGGAGGACGGGGGCGATTTGTGGGAGGGGGTGGAGCAGGCGCTGTTGGTTTGTGAAAACTGGATGGCAAAGTGGCTGTTCTAGGAGGAGGAGGAGGATTCGTGCCTTTGAAGTGCAGTGAATCTTGCGATTGATGGAATGATGGTAGGCCTGATCTGCTGAGGTCTCCCTGATTAGCGGTAGATGTTGGAAACATGGGACCTGAAACAGGCAGAAATGTAAAGAAAGGCAACAACTGTGGAAATGAAGTCAGTAACACAACCCTATAACTAATTACTTACCTGCTGGGGGTGCGACAGGAGGAGACCGTGGAACCCTCATACTGTGTGCGCGAGATACTGCAGGCTTGGGCCCTCCATTTGTCACTTTCTTAGATGGGGGTGAAGGTTTGCTAAGAGGGGCGTTCGGCGGGGTGCTGGGCGGATTAGGTGCCATACCTGGAGGTTTTGGTGCCACATTAGGCTTTCCGTAACCTCCTACAGGTGGTTTATTAGGTAAAACAGGGGCAGTTCTTTGACTTCTTTCGGTCAATACAGAATCAGATGTGCTCTGGGGGAGAAAGAGAAGGTATTAAACAGGAAAAATCCAAAACAAGATCTATAGATTAACTGTTGAAAAACCCTTGCAACATCTTACAGTTGCTAGACCAGTTGGTTTTTGGTTGGCTGGAGGTGGCTGAGGTGGAGGTCCTCTGTTTTTCACATCACCAGGGAATGGTCGTCTGGGAGCTTCTGAAGGGGGTGGAGGTGGATTTGAAGCTGCTGGAGAGGGTGGAGTGGTAGTTGCTGGCGAACCACTTTCTCCTCCTATAAATAAATCCATGGTACAATGAGTGCAAGCTGAGTGCAGCTAAATTTCTCTCTTACCACAACAAACTAATTATTTTGAACTCACCCCAATTTCTTCCAGTAGATTTTAATTTAGGCATTCCACCAGCAAACAGACCTCCAAGTCCATTGGGTGGAGGACCACGGGCCATGCCTCCACCAGGGGAACCACCAGAACGGGGTGAGGCCAGCCCACCACCACTAGAAACTTTTCCTGCAAAAAATAGGCACTTTTCATTAAGACTCTGAAAGAATGCAAAGGCAAATATATTAAATCAAAAAAGTGAGATTAAATATGTACCAATCATTGGAGCAGACTTGTCTACAGTCTCCACTTTTTTTAGTTTGGCACCCTGGCGAATGGATTGCAAAAGCAAACCTCGCCCATCAGCCCCTCCTGACCCTCCAAGTCCCAGAGGGGGCATTGAGGGAGGTGGAGGGGGCCCTGGCGGAGGCGGTGGCCCCGGAGGAGGAGGGGGAGGCATTTTGCTTGATATTCCTATCAACAAATCTGAGACAGATATTATGTTAATAAATAAATTTCATCTACAGAGGGAGAGAATGGGGCTGTGACCAAGGTTCAATTTATTCACCTATCAATTCTAAATAAAAGCAAAACAAATGTTTGGGAACATATTAGAAATAATTAGAGATGTATGGAAATGAATTGAAGTTGGTAGGAATAGAAGTTTGAATAATATTTCTAACCAGCAAAAAAAAAAAGGAAGAAACATTTAAACAGTTAAAAGTGGAATGAACTAAAGTGATAAGACAAACTTAATTGACAACTTCCTCCAAACGGATGGCTGCAATGATAGAGGAGAACAAATACGTGCCTCATGACCAAATGCAGTAAGAACAACAATATCACCTATCGTGCCAATTGGCATCAGTCATAGGAGGCACCATACCATGACAGACAAAGACGAACCTTAATTTCATTTCTACATTCACGGCAGCGTGCAGGACTGCAATAATTCCAACAACAGTAAAAACACAACAGAAGAAGAGATTTGTTTAAGAAAAGGTTATGTTTCTCATCAAAATGAAGGTGGGCTCCAAATCCGAGGTCAACACAACCAATTCGATGACTTGATATCGAAAATAGAGGAGACAGGAAAACAATTGGGACAATAGCTAGAGTTTCAAAGAAACGCTGGACATAGATATCAAATATTCCTATCCACTTAAGTCTTCTGCGTTAAAAAAACTAGATCGTCGACCTGTTCCCTACCAACACGTCCTCCAAACTCACCTACGATTAAAGAGCGACAAACGACGGTCCTGACTCAGTTTTTCCTGTGGAACTGAGTTGAGGGAGAAAATACCGTGTATACATTGTTATTATCAGGGGTTTACATTCAATTTCAATCATGCAGGGAACAGTACGACAACATTTTCCGAGAATACATCAACACACGGCCCAACTCCACCTATCAATATGGCTGACTCAGTCGAGATAGACAGAGATGGGTGAAGATAAACAGAGAGGGAGAGTTGTGTGAAAGAGAGAAGGAGTAATCAGAAGCTTATGAGCGTGAGAGAGATGAACTGCTGACTGCGAATAGTGTGAGAAGAGGATGGGGGTGGTGTAGGGACGAGATATACCTGCCAATAATTACTGCGTCGTCTGCCGCTCCAAGTGCCGCGTTTCCAGCCACTAGCTTTTTGCTCACTCAGTTTCGGACGAAGATTGCTGCCGACAACTCGGACGGTTCAGCATCAGCCTCTGCTATTTAATTGTCTTTATGAAATGCCTGACACACTCCAAATTCATCCTAATGATGTCGTGTCACGTGTTTCTTGGAATATCGAAGATTCGAGGAGAGCGTCTAACCTCTCCTCATTTGACAACAAACTGCTGTCTGAGTGGGCAAAAGCTGTCAAAAGTGGATATTTTCGCTATGCACTCAACATCCAAGGGTCAGTTGTTTTACCTGGAAAATGGAAGTTTTTTAAGGAGGTGAGGTATAAGTTGCCTTTTTATTTTAACCAAATGCAATCAGTTGGTTTTTCTCTTAGTAAAAATGAATGCACAATCTAAAATAAGCATCTGTGTTGTTAGCTTAATATAGAGCGTGGAGAAAAGGTCCGGAAGCCTCAAGAATTTTATTCTGTTAATGAACCATTTAATAAAGACTTGTTCAATTTCACTCGAATGAAAAAGGAAGAAATCATCTTTGAAATTCAAATGGTGGAGGCTGAGGATCATCTATTTGAAAGGGATGATTACATGGCAATCAATGTTAGTCCCATCAGTGAAGGACATTGCCTCGTACTACCTAGTATTAAAAAAATGTACCCGCAATCTCTAACGCTAAACAGCATTGAGATGGGCCTTGGTTTACTCTTAAGAAGCTCTTCACCGTAAGTTACCAGTTTGGTTCCTTTCAGTTTCATTTTTTTAAAAATCATAATTAGAAAAAAGTGTGTGCTGTTTGTCTTGAATCAGATTCCTTATTTCTTACAGGTCGTTTCGTGTTGCATTTAATAGTTTGTGTGGCTCAGCATCTGTAAACCATTTGCACTTGCATAGCTTGTATGTAAGAAAGCCCATGATTCTAGAATGTCTGGTAAAGTTCTCATTGCAATGTATATGCCGTGCGAAATTAGAATTTTTATTGTTTACCTTTAAAATTTTATTGAATAGGATTTAGAGGTGGTTGAAGGGCCTTGCTATCAGATGGTAAACTACCCTGCTCGAGGATTTGCCTTTCAAGGAAAAGCAGATTCGTCTGATGATGTAAAATCTATTGCAAGGTAATTTTTTAGTTTCATGAGTGTCAACCTTATTTTTAAAGTTTAATGTGAACTCTTTAATTTCACTTTTACAGGAATGTTTATAAGCTGACCAACTTCCTTCAGAGCCAAAATGAAGCACACAATGTGACAATGACACGCAGTAAACTGAATGAAAGTGATAGAGATCTGTTATATGTTCGGGTTTATGTGTGGGTGAGAAAACCAAACAAAGGTGTGACTAATTGCTTGTTAATAATACAGTGTTTCCAGTTCAGATTCTTTGTTAAGATTTTTCATTTCATGGCCATTCTTTAATTTTTAGGAGCCAAAGAGACTTCAGATTTTAACCCAGCAGCCTTGGAGTTGTTTGGATATTTTACATTTAAAAGTGAGGACTGTAGAATTTATTTTTTCTGCTCTCAGCCTTTTCCTGTTAACTGCCTTAAAAAGCAACAAAATATTTTTTTTTCATTTTTTTTTTTTTCTAGATGAGGACCATTACAAAAATGCTGATGAAGAATATCTTTGTAATGTTTTAGCAGACTTGACACACGAACCATTTCAAAGAAATTTTGAAAAAGTAAAGCAGTTATTTCAGTGATCTGTAGTCGTATGCCTTATGAAATGATTTGAATTCACAAAATTCTTCAGCATTGTTAACCAGTGAAAAAATTGGTGACTTAGCACAAATGATGACACTTTAAAGCATATGATTATTTATATTATTTCTATGTTTTGTACATCATTATAGTTGAGATACAATCTTAACAGTCAGATCATTCACCCAACGAACAATTACATTCAGCATTTGCTGGCAAATACTACACTCTCTGCGGCTAAAACATAAATGCTAAATGCTAAGTTATTTCTTTCACAGCCTCATGGGTGCGAATCACAGTGAACTTTCTCGTTGCTCAGCCACTTGACAGCTTGGTTTATGAGAATGCCCAAAGGACAGAAATTTGTCACAATGACATCAATTTGATGTAACTAGGCAAAGGTCAAAATCTTCACTGTTAGAAATGAAAAGACATTATGAAATCATAAATTTACGTCCTCTTGATGTGATTTCTCATAGTCAAGTTGACTAAATTTTGACCAGTAATGTCAATTGATGTCAATGAGACAAATTTCTGTCCTATGGGTCACTTTGTTGAATGTGAATACTAAATGTTTGTTGTGCTGTACCCTTCCTCGTACCGGGTGATTCAGAGCAGACGCAGGTGCGATCGGGTTTGCCTACCCAAGGGGTAATGGCGCCTTAAGGGCAGAGCGGGTAGGCAAACCCGCCCGCACCTGCGTCTTTTCTGAATCACCCGGTACACCTTACTATAACTATAGTTCTATAGTTACTATAGTTCTTTAGTAATATCAGTAAGTGGAAAAGGAATGGAGCAGGGGGTGGTGGATTTGTAAAAGCATGTGGTGGCGCTGAGACTCAAACCGCGAGTTGTCCGAGAGGACGACTAGAAAACACGTTCTGGACGAGCTGTCACCTTGGCTAACACCTTCGCAAGTGAGGGAGAACAGTTTCTCCGAGATCTTGGCGTCTCGAGCCTGCCTCGGCCCGGCCGAGACTCAGCCGTCGACCAGCGTCGATATAGGCCGCCGCCGTGGTCGTCGACCCCACAGCCAGACCCCAGCCCGGAAGTAGTCTTCAATGTCGTTGAGCGAGCGGCCGCTGGTCTCTGGCACCAGCAGGTACGTCCACACCAGGTTGAGCAGGGCGGCGGAGCTGAAGAGCCAAAAGAAGCCCGCGCTGCCCAGCAGCACCTTGAGTGCTGGGTAGGCCTGTGTGAAAGTAAGTAAATTGAAGAAAGGCTGCCATAGTTGGGCGCGGTGCATTGCACAAGTTTGTGCGTCGGAGATAAAGTCGCGCCCGCGCCGCGTAGCCTAGGGCCGCGTTTGGAAACGCTCCCCAGGTCGCCGGCCTCTCTCGCACACCCGCAGCCGGGTGGCGGTGGCGGGTGTGCGACAGAGACACGAGTCTTCGCAGGGGACGAGACTTTTCGAAGGAACTGCTAAGATAAGACTCGAATAACACCAGATCTGGTGTGCTGGTCTATAGGACCGTGGTGGCCTCACCTTGGCGAAAGCGAAGAGGCTCAAGTTGAAGAGGCAGGTCGTGGCGGAGCTGGCCACTCCGCGCACGCTGGTGGGCAGCAGCTCGCTCATCATCATGCCCGGCATGATGAACATGCCGAACGAGTTGAGCGCCACGTACAGCAGGGCCAGCGAGGAGGCCACATAGCCCCCCGAATCGGCCCAGTCAAAGTACAGCACGAAGCCAAGCTGGAAAGGACCACGCAAAAATTAGCTCAGAGATCATGGCGCCTGTGGAGTGTGGATAAGGCAAACTGCACGCAGCTCCAGGGTGGCCCAACTCGCGGCGGCAGGCGCTTTAGCACGCTATATGTAGCGCGCCAGGGGACTCCTCAGATCTGTTGACGCCACTTGCCGCCCCATCCCCTCGCGAACACACTCGCTGCACGGTCCGTTGCGCATTGACAGAGCACATTATCATTTCCGGGGAGCGGAGTGCGCCGTCTGGGTAGACAACCGCGTCGCAAGGTCGCGTGTGGGGTGTGCGGGTTGCCTAGCCGGGCTTAGATTTCCCCAGACGCAGCTCGCTGAGGCCGTGCTCACCAGCGCTGCGGTGGCGGACACTCCCATGGCGGACGCCAAGGCCACGGGGCGCCGCCCGCACTTCTGAAGCACGGCGCAGCCCGTGGCGCTCATGACGAGGCGGACGGCGGCCGTCAGGATCGCGACGAGCTCGGCACTCATCGTGGCGGGCAGCACCGTGTCCAGCAGGTCGACCGCGTAGAAGATGACGATGAATGTTCCCGACAGGCCCTAGTGTGGTGTAAGAGAGCCTGTTAATGCCTTATCTGGGTGTTTTGGGACGTGGCCACAGTTTCGGCCCTCACCTGCAGCAAACAATACACGTTCATGATGACCATGGGCTTGACGACGTGAGGCTGCGTGAACATGCCCCACAAGCTCCTCTTCTTGACAGCGTTCTCCGCTTTCTCGGCGTCGGCGCGCGAAACCAGCTGGTCCATCTCAACCTTGCTCTGCAAACAGAACAAACGACGGCTTATTTGGATTCCCGCCGGGTCGGCGCGCAGCTTCACGACGTCGAGCCTAGCGCTCCGCGGCGCTCTGACCTGCACGCTGCCCGCACCTCCTCGCAGCCAGTCCAGGGTGCGCTGCGCCTGCTCCAGCCGACCCTGGCGCACCAGCCACACGGGGCTCTCGGGCAGGAAGTAGAGGCAGACCGCGGCCACGACGATGGGCGAGGCGGCCACGGCGCACATGTAGCGCCACGAGATCAACGAGCCGATCAGGAACACGTAGAGGATGCCGATCGAGTAGGACACGAAGGGGACGCCGACCAGGATGCCGCGCATGCGCGGCTCGGACATCTCGCCCAGGAAGACCTGGCTGGGCGCGGCCATCATGCCGACGGCGGCGCCGCAGAGCGCGCGCGCCACAAGCACCATGGCGTGGTTCTGCGCGAAGCCCAGCATGGTCCAGCCCGCCACCATGAAGGGCGTGGCCACCTGCAGCGCCCGGTTGCGGCCCAGCCGGTCCATCAGCGGCCCCGACAGGATGGTGCCCACCGGCGTGGACGCGGAGTGCATGCTCACTGCGCAGAGGAGCGGACGCCACAATGACAGCTGACGTTGACAGGTATAGTGTGCACAGCACGGCCACGCCGTTCACTCACCGATCCATGACGCCGTTTCGTCGTCCGTCTGTAGTGTGGAGTTTGGGCTCTGCAGCTGGGGCACCAGCACGCCGGAGAAGCCGATCGGGCAGCCGCCGCCCACGGAGAGGATGACCAGCGCTCCGGCCACCAGCCACTGTGCGGAGAAAGGACGCGCACGGTGAGCTCCGCGATCAGTCTCGTCTTCGTTGCTGAAGGTCCCGTACTTGGGATGCTGGTCAGTGGCGGCCAGGCTGGCCAGCCGCAGCACGCCACCCTTGTACTCGGCGTGCATCGCCGGACCCCAGACGCGCCCCCCCGCGACCACCACTCCACTATGGCAGCGGACTGCACTCGATCGTCGAGATGCATCGATGGTATGGAGGGGGCAGCAACTCTTTTATTTATTGTTCCAAAAAGGCACTATCGCGTCTGACTTTGGTAAATACCAACGGGGGCGCATCGAGATATGGGTCGCATTTTTTCGCTTCCGGTGCAACGACCGAGTGATGCGCCTGCTGCCTATCCAGTGGCGGATTAAGGTCCGGCTGACCAGGAGGGGGGGGGGGATGCGCTGTCGCTCGCCTACAAAATTGCATACCTTTCAGGCGGCTCTCTAGAGACGACAGTGCCTCCCCCCCCCCCCCCTCCGTTAATCCGCGCCTGTGCCTATCGCCAAGTGGCTGATTAACTCCCGCACACGCCTCTAGTTACCCTGTACCGCCGAACGCCCCTTTCCACGGCGCGGTACTGCACAGCTACAGAAGTGCGGAGGTTACTTAGATACCTGGTGCAGGGTGGCCCGCAGAGCCCTCGGCATAATTTAGGTACTGTAAACTACGCAGGTAGGTGTAAGGGGACGCGTTTGTCAACTCGCGCTAGGGGCCGTTAGGGATCGTCCAGAAAGTACGTCTGTTTCTCTCAAAATCATCCTGCAAACTACAGAAGCTAGGCGCCTGCAAAACTCGGGGTAGGCCAGCCCGCAATACACGAATGCATGGCATGCAAGATTGTGCCTACCCATCAGGCGCCATGAGAGCTTGCATTGCCTAATTTGGAGGGTTCGTAACGGCGAATGACGGACGTACTTTTTGGATGATCCCTTAGGCGCCCGCCGTCGTGGGAGCAGGCGCGCGGTAAAAGGATAAGGTCCAGCCCACAGAGTAGGCAGGGGGCGATGCACCGTGGGTTGTCCACATACAGAGGTTTTGTAGAGCAAATTGCATGCTTTCTTCAACCGACTCACTTAAAGAAAAGAGGTAGGGAGTGAATTCCCCCCCCTCTTATACCGCGCCTGCGTGGGAGACGGTGGGCAAGTCCGCCCGCACGTCTGCATGCGGCACAGTATAACTAACAAGGGAACATTTTTAGGTGTAAATCTCCAATTTTGTTGAAACTTGAAAAATTTGAAGGTTACTTATGTAGAAATCGGATGGCACTTGAATTTTTTACTAAACCTGACAATTAGTTTTCCCCTATACATGATGGGTGATCCGCGCCGTCTTTTTAAAATGCCTATACCGTACTATGGATTCACGCGTGCGGGCGGGCTTGCCTACCGTCTCTCACCATGGCGCCTTACGGCGCCGTGCGAGTATACAAGCCGTCCGCACGTAAGAATCCGGTACAGTATAAGCATTAAAAAAGGCGGCGCGGATCACCCACCCTGTACAGGGTAGGTGTAAAATGTAAAGCAGTGTTCTAAGGGGTAATTCGTCAAAGTAGTACCGTTTGGTGCAAAATTTTGTCCGTTTTGCTCTATTTTGAACCGTTAAGGCGGTAGAGGGATATTTGGGACGAAAACAGAATCAGGCTTAAGTAAACCCCTAGTAAATGTTAAGTTTAGGAAAAATTTCAAGTGCCATCCGACTTCTATTATAATAACCTTTAAATTTTCCGAATTCCAACGAAATCGGAGATTTACACCTGAAAAGGTTCCCTGTAAGAAATATTCCAGGGTACGTGGGCCATACCGTGTTATAGCTGTAAAACTTTTACGCGAAGCTCTCCCCCCCCCCCCTCCTTACAAGATGTGCGTTTTTCTCGAAAATTACAACCCTGGCTAAAAGGTGGCCGTAATTTTTAGACAGTCCCGCCCTGAAGACTGTCTCTATTTATTTACTTTAACATTTTTTTGTGGCAAAATTTTTGGGCCAATTACTTGTAATGAGAACACTTTGTGACACCTACGATCGGTCCACCCGAGGTCTTCTTCAGTTTGAGGCTGATGGCCGCCGTGGAAGGGACGGTGTTGAGCGTCGCGACGCCCTTGCCCTCCACGGGCGCGCCCGACTTGGTCTTCATGTCGCTGCGTGGAGTCTAGGCTTGGCGGCGCGGTAAAGCCCTCGGGCGCGCTCGCGGGTGCCCCGGTCGGCCGCGTGTCACCCGACCCGAATTATCACTGAGACGGGTAAAGCTCGGATCCCTCACTTTTCTGTTTCGAGGACGTGGCGTGGCGTGGCGTGGCGTGGCCTGTTGCCGTGGTGTAATGTATTTAACGCGCGCGGCCCTCACCACGTTAGGAAATCGCGCCAGAAAGAGGTGGGGGGAGATCTTTCTCCTCCTCTGCACTCGGATGATGTCAACGAAATAATTAGTCGTGGCCGGGACTCACCTGCGCGCGCATCCCCTGCCTCGTGGCGTAGTGGATCCTGGTGGGCAGGCGCACCTCCCCAGACAGCGGCCGGTCCTTGTCGTTCTTGACGATCCTGGGCGCTCCCCGAGGCGGCAGCGCCGGCGGCAGGTCCACCATGGGCGTGTGCTCGCCGACATCGTGGTCGGGTCGTGCGCTGAAACACGCAGAGAACCGGGCTTCGAACAAACGAACAGTCGTGGACCTTTAAAATATATATGAGCTTGCTAATATTTCTTAATCGAGAGTAAAAGCTGCCGAGATCTGCTGACATTTATCATTCATTCTCATTTTTAGTCATGTTTAGTGTAAGAGTTAGGTATCATCTGCTAAAAAATGGGGGGGGGGACGTCGAGGGCCAGGGCCAGAGTAGTTGGGACCACTGAGACCACGCTGGGCGCCCGGCTCGCATGCGTGCATGCGATACCATCAATGACAGTATATGATTCCGCCTAGTTAACCCCCTCTCTATCTCTCTCTTTCTCTAGCTCAAACCGCAAATTGTTTTTCTCTCTCACTCTCTTGTTTCCAATGAGAGTCATCGGCGCGCGTGATGGTTGAGGGGGCCGGTATACTTATATAGTGAGCGAGCTCATTCGTCGCCAGGCTTTCCCGCTCAAAACCCTTTCTTTGTAAGTTTCGAATTCCTGATTTTTGTTTCCTGTTCTCCAATCGGCCAGAGATAAAAGCATTCATAAATGTCCAAAAATGTCTAATAATATTTTTTGAAGGTTTTCTTTTTTTAAAAAAAGTTAAGGCATTTGAGAATTGGAATTTGGTACGGGTCTAAGGACTTTCCATCAGGATAATGTACGAATTTTCATAAAAAGGCCACAAGTGGTGTGTAGGAGGTCCCTTCGGGACCGCAAACATAGGGAAAGGACCCTACTCAAAACTTAGGAAAAGTGGTACAGGAAAATAGTACCCTAGGAAGAGCGGAGTCAGGGCAAAAGCTATATCAGGGGAAACTGGATTGGAAATTTTGTGCGGAAATCTTCCCGAGGTTCCGTGCTGCACAATGTCACCCCCCCCCCCCAACTGTTGTAAATACTGTAGATATTTTTTACTTCCTGCAGCAGAAAAACTCTTACAGTGATCGTTTTTGTGGTGGGCTCTCGGCTCTTTCCTCGCGTCACGACGACACCAAGCGGCCTTGCCTCCCCACTCTCATCGCCTCTCCCACTCTTAAATGCGCATTGTGTCGACAAAGATTGATTTTTCGCAAACGAAAATACTACTGCTCTAGTGCGGGTGACCACCGAAGATGGGGACGCGGTTCTGTGAGTTCAGGACTCGGGAGGATAACGGCAACAGTCGGGCTGGAGTGGACATGGACATGATCCGGGGTTCGCGCCAGGTGCCTCCCACTCCCTTTCTCTCAGCAGACCGACGCAACATGTCTGCAGAGCTCACCACCCGCCCCCCATATTTTTGGGAAGGCGAAAGTACAAGGATTATAATTATGTTAAAATATTGACAGGTTGAAGCTGTTTTGAAAATTAAGAGGCTTTGAAAAGATCACATAGGTTTTCAGCCCGCTCGCCCGATAGCCTAAAAAATGGTGCTCGAAGTTAGAGCACAAGCCCCTCTTGTTAGTCCACAATAAACTGTTTTGCTGACTGCTTTTTTTGCTTTCTCCCAAAGTGCGCCGGAGATCGCTTCAGATGCTGGGTGCTCTGCAATATATTCCTCTCCGCTTATCGAACTGTTTTTTCGCCATGTCATTTTCCGAGAGGTTCAGCAGCTAAGGTTCAAGGTCACGCACGCTGCACGGGATGAAAGGCTTTGATAAGAGCGCGAAGCCTTACACCACCGTATGCGTGTACTTGCCTCCTGGCGTGTAGGCAACTTATCGGGCACGGCTCGGCTCCGCTCGGCTCGTACTCGAACCTATTCGTATTCCGAACGAGTCACTCAAGGGAGTTCCGCCCCGCGGCGAAGAGCGGGGAGTCCTCCCTGCTGCGCGAGTGACGCGACGCTGAGCATTCCCTTACTCGGCTGATTAAAATGCGGCGGGGACTGTGAAGCGCTTACCGAGGAATACGACTCGCGTCATTTGTGTGCGAGCGTCCGTCCGTCCGCGCCTGCCACCCCCCTCTCCCCTCTCCCCATTCATTTGCTCTATCTGGGTTTGTGATTGGGGTGGGATGTGGCGTGGGAGGTGGGCCTTTCGCCTTTCTCGAGAAAAGTAATGATTTATACGTCGGTTCGACGCCAAATTCATCATGCAATCACCCGTGGGAGGGAACGAAGGACGACTGAGTTGCTTTGTCTCAACAACGTAGGGCACTTAAAGCCCTAATGAATAAGCAGAGCCGCAGAGCCCCTTCAATGGGGAACCACCTTCGACTATGTCGACTCGGGTGTGATTTATTGTGGTTCTAATTATTTTAAAATATCTTTCTCTCGTGTTGTCAGCGGCGACGTCGGACAAGGGCGGACACATTTCTACCGGGACCAGGGGACTTCCGGTCCCGATCTCGCATGTCAGTGTTTAGCTTTTTGTCTTCGAAAAGTCCGAAACTTTTTACAAAACACTGAAATTTTGGTGATTGCTTCCAAGATTATTGTGACCGGACCTGAAGTCGCTAAAGTTGCTCTTTCTCTCGCGGATGACCTTCCAGGCAGGAGGCGGCCGTCAGCAAGGAAGGTGTGAATGTTGAACAGTCAAGGGAGGAGGGGGGCGGGGGGGACTTTGAGCTACGCCACACGCTGCGTGGACGCGCGCCCACGGACAAGGTCGATGAGCGCCTGCCGGTCGCCCGTGTTATGGTGGCGAGCACAGCAGAGTCGATACAAAAGCCAGCGTTGAGTTGCGCTGCGCACGGTCAGCTGATGGGCGAGTGGACCGGCGGCAGCAGTGGCGGCAGCCGGGCACAGCAGCGGCAGGCTGCACCATAGGCACTCTGAATGCACACGCGAGTGCAGTGCGGGTGCCCCTTTCCTCCCCATCCCCCTCTCCCCTTTCGCTTCTCAGTAGCGCGTCGCTGTGCATCGCCCCCCACCCCCTCTCCACCACCGCCACCGCCTCTTTCCCCGGCGCCGCCGCCTTCCGCGCGCCCGCGAGTTGTTCGAATGATGATTCACAAGACTCGCTGCCGCTTCGCGCCACGACGCCTCGCCACGCCACGCCACGCCGCCCCCGTTCCCCCCGTCAATTCGCACAATAAACACTCATGGCTGTGCGAGCTTGCTGCCATCGCTTCGTTCGTATCGCACCAGTCTGGCTCGAGGAGCGGGAGGAGGAAAACGCGCAGTGCAGGTGCAGCAGGACGTGTATCGTGTCACTTCTGTCGCGCAACTGTAGGCGAACGTCTGCAATCACCCCCCGGCCCGGCCGCACGGCAGCACGCGCGCCTGCGCGCCTCTCCTTCCGACGCGACAGCCGCGGCGACAGAGATCCCGCTAATACGAGGGAGGAGCCGCGTTCACCGTAATGGCAAAATCGATTGAAAACCTCGACAGCACGGCAATATATATATAGCGAGTCGCTCGGCCGCTTCCGAGCTGCGTGACCCTATCGGGTGGCCGGCCGGTCGGGGCCTTGCCAGACCTGTGGCCGTGGAGACAGAGTGAACGTAACTTATTGGTGACCGGGAGAGATAATAATAAGAGAGGTGGATGCGAAACACGCCATCTTCTTCCTTCTCCCTTTAAGGCGTTAGCTGGTCATTCGTTTTCCGTCTCCCTCCCTCTCCCTATTTCCCCCTATGGGATCATCATTCCAGAAGGTACGCCATTCTACGGTCGGCCTATGCAAGCTCTCAAAGCGCCTGATGGGCAGGCAATATCTTGGCTGCGACGCACGCGTGTAGTGCGGGGTGGCCTACCCTGCCTTTCGCAGGCGCCTAGCTCCCGAAAGACTCTGAGAACACGTGTGTATTTTTCATCATGAGCGCCGCCGCCGGCCCGCCCACCGCCTGCGGGGTGGGTTCAACCCCCTCCGCGCGGAAGAGTTTGCACAGCCGGCGGGTGTACCGGCACACTGTACCCGTCTGCAGGAGCAGTGCCTCCTTATCGTGAAACCACAAAGCGCGCCACTGTAACAATATATATACAGTTTCCAGGGCGCGCCCCAGCCGAGCCGAGTCGCCTTTGGAGGAGAGGGAGGAATAAGTCTCGGCAGCCTCGAGGTGAGCGGCCGGGAGGTCCTGACTGTTCCGGTAGATCTATGGACGCGACTGTCAGTGGCCCATAAGCAGGCGCTCGCTCGCCTCTCGCGGCCATGGAATGCAGCCCAGCTGAGGCGAGCTCGCGCCGCTAGCGGGCGGCGCGGGCCCCTCTCGCGCGCGCACACATCGTGCCTCCTCCTCACTGGTCCGGAGAGGCGCCGGCGTGGGCGTCCCGTACTCACCGGCCGTCCATCTGCAGCGGGGCGTCGTTCGAGACGTCCGAGAGCGTGGCGAGGAGTAGCGGCGCGTAGCGGCGCGGCGGGGCGTCGTCAGGGTGACGTCATCGCCGGAGCCGCGCGGCCCGCGCTATGACAGCGTCGTCCATGCAAGGATCTCCGTTGGCCCGCGAGGTTCCATCGTCCTCCACCTCGCGGAGGGTACTTCGTCACTGGAGGGCAACCAGGACGCCGTCAACGCGTCGCCTCCGAGGCCCTTGCGCCAAGTGTTGTTGTACTCCCCTGAGCCACTCCCGATCGGCTACTGCGGCCGCGGCGTCGCGTCTCGGCTTACGAATCGACGCTCGCGGCGGCGTGAGCGGGCGGGTGGCGATGGCGATACGTCCGACTCCCTCCTGGCCACGGCGCGGCTTCGCTCCCGACTGGCGGCGGCGCGCCGGGGAGTCCTGGCCGACCACGGCGCGGGGCCGCGGGGGGCGCAGGAGGCGGAGGGGCAGCTCGTCCGGCGGCTCGGCCCGGGCCCGGGGCTGGGGGGCGGCCTTGGTTAGCGCCACGCCGCGCGTGCGCCTTGCGCTGGCCACTTCGCGCTGCTCCGTTCACTCAACCGGAGGCGCATACGCGGCAGCGTGGAGTCTGCTGACCGGCAAAGCGGAGAGCACGCTGGAAGCGAGCACACCACAAGATCGACCCCGTCCACATATCTCCGGGAGGACGCGCTCTCACCTCGCGTTGTTCTGTCGCGGCCCGACCGATATGGCCAGTCGCGGCCCGAGTCGATCTCACCGGACCGGTCGTGGTCTCCGTGGCCGCCGCCGCGGTCACCTCTTCTCCGCCGCCGTCGCCGCCGCAATGTCGCCAAGGCGATGCCTCCCGGCTGCTGCAGCGGCTCGGGGACTACGGCCCCCGAGCCACGGCGCAGTCCCGCTGGCGTGTCCCTAACCTCGCCCTACCGCTCCCGTAACCCACCCCTCGCCCGCGGGTCCACAAAGCCGCGTCTCTTTTACTGACGGGCACAACGCGATGATGTAGGGCGGGGGTCCGCTGCCCACACCTGGCGCCGTGACGCGCCGAGGCCGGGACATGTACCGGATGACACATGGCCGCGGGGAAGAGGGGGGAGCCGCGGGAGATACGGGGCGCACAACTGTCATTGTCCGTCGTGTCGGTCCGGAGTCACGGAATAGTGGCCGCCCTAGCGTGCCTGGGCGTGGCGCGCGCGGCGCACGGCCGCGTGACCGCGACCGGACGCGTGACAGGCCAGCACGCATCCGCGGCGGCCTGATCCTGGTCCCGGCGTTGTCCTTACATGGAGAGTCCAGCTTGACGCACACCCCGGGCGGGACGAAGCTGCGGGAGGGGAAAGGAGGTGCGCGTTAGAGGGTGCAGCAGAAGGGGGCCTAGCGCTGGGAGGGTGGCTTCCATCGCCCGCACGCACCTGCTCGTGTAGGTCGTGTGCCCGGCGAAGGGCACGCACGGCCGGTGGTACCGGCCCTTCTGCATCCAGGGGTAGTCCTCCCTGGGGGACACACAGCAGAGGGTGTGATCGTGTATCTATTTTCGTTCTGAATGCGACATGACGGCACGTGTTGCCGTGGTGGCCCCAAATGGCCCAGCTAGGTGCGTGGAGTGGCTGCTATCGCGCCCACTCGAAAGGCTTACGGGCCTACAGCCCAAGGCCGTCCCCAGGGGGCTCCGCCGGGCTGCGCCGGGCACAGCTGCCCAATAATTGCCAATTGATTTGTTCGGCTGGTGCGTGCGCATGCAGCCCACCCCGCCCGAACCACTGTTTATGGTCCTCGCTACGCCAGGACATGTTCAAGCTCCCCGAGGCACAGTCCATGGGTCATCCATATTACATAAAGCATATATATTGAGGGTGAAGCTTCCCCGCTCACCGGCCCCGCCCAGCCTGGCTGTATAGCCTGGCCCACCGCTGGCACATTGTCGGTGGGGGCGGGTGTGTCGCCGTGAATCAATTATAATATGCAAATGTCGGGAAGAATTGGGTAAAACATGGAATTACTTGGGCAGGAGCGCTGGCTGTACGTAGCTCAGCTTCTGGGTCGTCTTGTCGTCCACGGGGCATGGCACCCTGCTGGCCTTGACGACCGGCTTCATGGACTGGGCGGGCTGCGCGCCCTCCGGGTGCGCGTAGGACAGGCGCGTCGTCGTCCACCCTAGAGAGAACGAACGACGCCCCGGTCCCGACGTGAGCGGCCATACGAGTCTGATCCTGGGTAACGGTTGGCAGGTCGCAGGTCCCTACCCTCCATCGGGGCGTCGGGGAAAGGCGTGCGAGGATCGGCAAAAGGGTCACGCTTGCAGTAGGGCTTGGGGGAGTAGTCGATCTTCTGCGTGGTGGCGTCCTGCATGGGGCCCCTCCCCATCAGGTTGCTGCCGAAGGGGCGGCACGGCAGCGGGCGGGTGCCGCGCGGGTACTGGTAGCTGAGCTATTTGGACCGACTGACAGATCAGCTGTGCGTTTTCGTCACCAGTCCGCCGAGAGCCCCAAGGCGGGCTCGAGTGTGTACCGAAGTTGTGGTGTTCCCGTCGATGACCCCCGGGACCTTTATAGGGCCGAGATCCGGGCGGCACAAGTCCGGTTTTGCAAGGCGCGCTACGTCTGGTGGGAAGCCCGGGTACGACTTCTTGTACACCGTGCTCCCGTCGACGGCCACCTTAGGGTGCCGATATTGGTGCTTCGGAGCGCAGGACGGCGGCGGCAGCGGCTGCATGTAGGTCACCGCCTGCAGAACCCTCCGCTATGATGTCAAGTCAACCTCATCACCATGTCGGAACAACTGAACTTATTGTACATGGATACTTTAGCCCCCCCCCCCCCATTTCCCACGCGAACGCGTTAGGGAAGTCCTCTCGGAATAACTACCCCCCGCACAACTATCACCCTGCCAGCATACCTCGGGGTTCAAACACGGGCATTTGCAGGGGTCCCCGGCCGGACAGCGCGGGGGCTGCAACAGCAAGAAGGGGTGATGAGTCGCGGCAGGTACCCGTGAACACTTCAACTTAAAATAGAGTTCAGGGATACCGGCTGCTTGTTCATGTGGGCTTCCTTAAAAAGGTGACAGCGCCATTGCCGTAACTTAGTACTGCAGGATGTACTGTAGATTACAGTGAAATTAACCTACTGAAGGATTGACTGCAGCTTACAGTGAAATTACTCGAGAGCTTTCGTTGGTGTAAAGTTCAAGGTGACGAAGGGTAACATATTGGACTCTAAACGTTCCCTTTGCCCTGAGCCAATGTGCCCTGGTAGCAGGGCCTCAAAACTAAGTCGCGTCTACAGCAGCAGCATCCGAGCCGAGCTGGACGGTGACGAGGCGGCCTGGCTGCACGAGCAAAGTTTGCTCGCGTTTGCTCGCTCATAGTGGTTGAGCGAGCAAAGGCAACGGGCCTGAGCTATGAACGAGCAATGATGTCGCGGTCGGCAACAGAGACGGGCGCTTGCTCTCATTGCTCGCTCGTTGCAGCTCTCTAGTACTATGGCCGGACCGAAAAACCATAGGTCATATGTGGCATGTGGCCTCGTCACTCAAGATCAAGTCCAGCCACTTAATAAGCTGTTTGGGTTCGGGCGCTGAAGGCGGACCGCCATCTTCGCACGGCTGCGTGGCGGGTCTGCCTACCCGGCCCGTTGCAGGCGCTATCCTTAGGGTGAGGTCTGCAGCATCGCTCGCACCTTGTGTGAAAGACGCCTAACGTTTCCCCGCGTCGCCCCGTCCGTATCGTAACTTTATACGCACCTCCATACGCGGGCAGTTCGACGGCATAATGGTGTGTGTACGCTCCGGCGTGCCTCCGGCGTGGCCCCCGCCAACAGCGCGTGTTGCTATGGCAACGCGACAACCGCTGCAATCTCGCTGGCTCCACGACGACCCCGGCCCGTACGGGCACGCGGTCCGGGGACAGTCTGGACCTCACCAGGACCACCACCATGGGGGCAGGGGCGTCCACCCATGAGTCTATGAGCAACCCCTCCCCAGCGGAAGGCGGTGCCCCCGGCCCCTCCAAGAATAAGGTGCTGATCTCAGATCCCGCGGATGGGGAGGGCGAGGGCGAGGGCGAAGAGGTGCCCAGCCCGACCCTGATCTCGACCCCGCCAACACGACCCGCCCCCGCCAACGCGTTGGGGCTCACGGCTCAGGAGGTGGGCGACGTCCGCCGAGTTCATGGGCTTCTGGCGAGGGATGCGAGCGGCCACTGCGTCCGCATGCACATCAAGTGAGTGGTCCTCGTGGTCCTCTAACGAGTGAGTTCCCCGGTGCACCACTTCCTGCTGCCCGCAGATACTTCCGCCGGCAGCCCGAGCACCTGGAGCGTTTCTGCGGCCGCGAGCCCCAGCGCGAACCCCTGCACTACTCTCCCGCCGAGCTGAGCAGGGACTCCGAGTTCACGGCGCGCGCGCTCCTGCACGGCCTGGCGCAGCTGCAGGTGCTCCGGTGCAGCGTCGCGGGTGACGTGAGCGCCATGGCGAGCCAGCTGGCGAGCATTGCGCGCGCTCACCGGGGACTGAAGCTTAGCCGGGCCAGCCTCGCGGTGAGCCTCCTGCCTGACAAAGGCTCGGCTGACGTCAATTCCGGATCACTAGGTCTCCAACGGTCGCGATCTTCGTGCTCCGCAGAGGTACCGGGACGTGATGATCGGTTACCTCGAGGAGGCACTTCCCCAGGCTATGACTCCGTCCACCAAGCAGTCCTGGAGATCGTTCCTGACGGTTCTCTGCGACGGTCTGATGGACGCCCTGGAGCAGCTGGACCAAGCGGAGCGGCACTCTCCGCGGAACAAGATCGCTCTCACGTCGTCCTGGATCGAGGTACGTCGCTGACCCACGAATCGTACGACTTCGAATACTTGCAGTTCATCTTCCCTTTCCCGCGGGAAGCACGAGCTGCCCAAGGGCTGGCCCCTTGTGGCGCAATATGCCGGAGGAAGGGCTCAGCTATCTCGGAGGAGACCAGGCAACACCAGCTCGACCTGTAACATGTGCAACCAGGGGGTCTGCACCTGCAAGGTAGTTCATACTCCCACCCTCACCCCCGGGGTTGCAACCCCGCGGCCCCGCGCGTCTGACGCTTGGCCTGGGGGCCGTGCCGTGAGTGTGCCCGACTCGAATTTTGTCCGCAGTGGGACACCATTCACGAAGGGAAGCCATGGCAAAACGACAGCGACACGTTTCCCTCTTTGCTCGAAAATGACGAGTGTGAGTCGGTCGCAGATCTCTCAGGTTGGTTGGCTTTCAGTATAGTCACGCACCATAGCATATGGAGCAGAAATTATTTCACCATCTTTTGCAGAGAGGAGTCAGAGCGCCAGTGAGACATTTCCTGTTGGCATGAGCGCTTCTCATTTAACGTCAGACTGATGCAGCAGCAGTTAAATTTGGCGGAAATTCCCGTTCGTGCAAATAACTTTGCCGCACTGACAGCAGAACAGAACAGCTGAGCGAGCAGAAGACAAAAAACAGCTGACGATCGAAGGGAACGTGAATATGTAGCAACGTGTTGTGATTGTGAAAGAGAAAGAGAGAGGAGAGGAGGAAGTGGGGGAGAGAGAAGAGAGAGGAGGGTAGGAGGTAGTAGGAGGAGAAGGTGGAGGGAAGAATGATGCAAACAAGGACACAGAAAATGTGTGTACTTGGATTTGTGTGTGTACTTTCTTTTGCTTGAAGTACGGGCTGAGAATGTTTATTGGTGGTGACATCGTTAATTAATCAGTTGCTGCAGAATCCAACGTGCCTAAAAACCACATTCAAGCAAAATGGCTGACCCCTCACATTATGGTGACTACAGTTATGACTCAGGTTTGTACTTGGTATTTTGTGTTTAGTTCAAGACACTTAAAAAACACATAGCTTGGATTTAATCTGTACTAACCCTACTTTCGGTGGGGGCTGTCAGGCATCATCAGCCTCAAGAGTTGAAAGCTTATTAGCTTTAGACATATGCCTTTCATATGAGTTTGGTTTTTCAATGAGCCATATGACAATTACCATGTCACTATTAACTTGTCATATTATTGTGGATTCTCCAGTTCCCGTCAATTGTCACAGCCCAAAGAAACAGATTTTCCTAGTCAAATTAGTGTAATTGTTGTAGTAACCTTCATAAAATTTCTTTCTATCGATCATTGTTAGTGATTTATTTATGAACTTTAATAATGTCATCTTAAAATGTGATTAGTTTTCAACAAAGTCCCTCTACCTTGTGTTTCAAAAATGTTTGTTTTCAGCTATTGGTATGAACAGTCTCCAGGATATGAAACCAGAACCTCCAAGTCCAACTGAGTCTCCATACTACAGACGTGACAGCATTGGCTCAAACCCAATGGCACCTACAACCCACAATACAGGAGATAATCTAAGTAGCAGTAGCGGTCATGGTGAGCATCCTATTTATTAACACAGAGTTCCAGGGGGGGGTAGCTAACATGCGTTATTGTGACCACGAGTGTGGTCACATGGGACTCAACGTGTTAAGGTTCAGTACCCATCCTCTTAGTATTGAATATCTTTGACCATGATACCGTTTTTGGCTTGTAGAAGATGATGATAGTGATCATAAAGGATCAGGATCTCTGAGTTACAAAGAGAGGCGAAGAGAAGCACATACTCAAGCTGAGCAGAAAAGGAGGGATGCCATTAAAAAAGGTTATGATTCTCTACAACACCTTGTCCCAACATGCCAGCAGACAGACTCCTCCACTTCCTACAAATTGAGCAAAGCCACTGTTTTGCAAAAATCAATAGATTATATACAGGTTGTTATTTTTATTTAACAGTAATTTTGTTTTATGGAGTTCAGGTAAATAGAAGCCTTTTAACACTAATGTTTATCTTGTCTCCAGTTTCTTCTGCAGCAGCGTAAAAAACAAGAGGAGGAAAGAAATGCTTTGCGAAAGGAAGTTGTGGCCCTGAGCATTATGCGCTCTAATTATGAGCAGATGGTTAAGGCACAGCAATCGCAGCCTGGCCAACTAGATACAAGAGTGTCTGATGATACAAAATTTCAAGTGGTATGTGGATTTAATTTCAAATTTTATTCCACCTATACTCCTTCAGTCTGTATTCAAATAATTAAAAATTTCTTATGCCCAGTTCCAGGCAATCATGGATCAGCTTTTCCTGTCTTTCAGTAATGCATCATTTGCAAACTTTGCTGAACTATCTGCCTCTATATTTAGTTGGCTTGAAGAGCAGTGTAAACCTCAGGTATTTTTCTTCCTATTTTATATTGTAATATTAATCTCTAGCATTGTTTGTACCTAAACAGGTCTTAATTTTTTCTCTTTATTCAACAGACACTTCATGATCTTGTAGCATCAGTACTCCAAAGACTAAGTTTTCCAATGGGACCAGGAAGCATGAGAATGTGATGAAATGGGGAAGGGGCATTTTTTAATTCATTTTAGCCTGTAATGGTGTAGTTATTCCTTTTTATTATCATTATTCCTTACCATAAATGTGATATTGAAGCACAGGATTGTGAATAAACTCAGTAGCTTGGCAACATATTTAGAGATCCAACATTACTGCTTAATTTTTCCTTTTTTTTCATGAATTACTGCATTAATCTTTATTATTGCTTGGAATTTTTAAACTTCTCATTGTAATGTTTGGAAGCAATTGTTTCTTTGTTTTTCACAGCTTTGCTTTTGTATCATATTTACTTAGTGAAGGACTTCTGAAGATGCCATGCTATACAATACCTGATTTTATTTAGGTATAGGCTTTATGAAAATCACATATACTTTGATATGCAGACTTTGTCAAAATCACAAGTGTACTATGCACTACTAAATAATCTCTTTGTGCTTCTTTATACAGTTGTGTGATGTTTGAAGACGGTAACATGTAAAATTGTTAATTGACAATCAAAAACATTTTTGTCAGTTGTCAATGTCAGCCATTATGGGATGAAATATCCTAGCCATCTACAAGTCATTTTTAGGATTTTATAGTATATAATTGCTTTTGAAAGTCTTTGGTCAATAGTTACATAAATGAATTTTGAGTGAGTTGGATACAATTTTTTTCTGCTGCTACACTGTATATATAAAGCTTGTGGAGAAATTAATGTGGATATCATATGTTTGTGATAAATATGCCAACACTTGGCTCATTTTATAAGAAAAATTTGTGGGCCAAACAACCTATTGTGGAACATAAAATAAAGACTTAGTTTTGTTACAGAATTATAGTAATTATTTTATGAATAATCTGTGCTTAGACAGAGAGAAAGAGGGGTGCACTGATATTCCTTAAGAGCTAACACACACGCACACAACTTAAAAGTAAATCTTGCAAGTTTAAACTCTACATTTATTAATTAAAGAGGAAAAAACTTAGCGCAACCCGTTTCTACACAGATCGTTGGTATGCTAGATCAATACATTGTACTTTTTATTTTTCTTCTAAATGAAATCTCAAAATTGAAGGAGTTACTGACTTGTTAAAACTTACAATCAAACAAATAAGGTAGTGCTCTGGGGAAAAAAAAAAATTCAAGTTGAGATCTGATTAAAAAATGGTGCAGTTGATCGTAAAAATCCTTTTTCAAACTCTTTCACTGAGAACCGATCCACAGAAGATCTGTCAAACCAAAGAAAGAAATGTATAGTTCATAAGAGATCAGCAAAAATGTAGGTATCTGAACAATTAGCCAGTGTAGTTCACTCTACCTGGCAGCTTCCCTGATAGAACGGCGCTCTTTTGAGGCCATCCTCAGTATTTTTACTATGGCAATGGCAAACTCATTTTCATCAGCTGCTAGGAAACCATTCCGACTCCCTTCTTCTTCAATGACAATATCCATTTGAGGACCTCCTGAGCGGTGGGCTATCATTATTAGCCCTGCTGCCATACACTCTACAACTCCTAAGAAAGTTTAAAAAAATTAGTCGCTCTCAAAATTAGCTTCTGTTGAAAAGTAAAGCAATTCTCTCATTTTATTTACCTATTCCAAAGTGTTCATTCCACATGGCATGAAGACCAATTGTTCCCTCCTGTAACTCCTTTTTCAATTCATCATATGGCACATTGACACGAAACTCGACATTGTTTTCAAGGGAGAGGTGTCGACACAGATCTTTCATGTCTTTCACTCGTGCTTCATCAGCAGAACCTCTGCATGATCCCACAAATACTAAGCAGATCTGCCCATGAAAAAATATTTTTAAGTCAAATCTATTTTTAATGAGGTAGTACAAGTAAGTGATTTGAGATGTAATGCTCACTCACCCTGTCCCACAGTTCTTCTGAAACACATTGACGGAGCTGATACATTGCACGCAATTGTAATGGATGATCTTTTTCTGGTCTGAATTGACCAACGGAAACAATCTTAATAAGTTTCTTTCCCATTTCGTTCTTGACATCACCTGTAAAAACAAAGATCAACAATTTTTTATTTTTCTCCATCTTAATATTTCCACCTGCTTTTGCTTTCATTTAAAAAGGTACTTCAAGAACCTGATTGGGAGGAGATAAGGAAATCTTCATCATCTGCAATTGGAATTGGCACTTTCTTCAGGTCCTCAGTGTCACAAGGTGGGTACACACGATGTGTTTTGAGAGGAATTTTCCATATATCATTAATATGTTCTTCAGTCCAACTGGAGTTGACCATAACAATTTCTGCACAACGCCCCATGATACCATAGATCTAGGGAAACAGTTCCAAAGCACTCACTGAAGTTGAATAATGAAAACAACTATTAAAATTTGTCAAAGAAAATTTTAGACATACCCATGCAAACATTTTATAGTAGATGATCTTTCCTCCAGTAAGGAATGGGCTTCGCGCAACATAGTGACTATTATTGTACTGAATACTGCGACTTGATACTCGACGTAGCATATCAGTTGAAATTGTAGGGTAATGTGTGTAACAGCCAACACGACAACCCCCAATGTAACGAAAGAGTGGAAGTGTAAAAGCATATCCCATTGTGTCTAGATACACATCTGAAATTTAAAAAATATCAATATTAGACACTGTAAAAAGTACAATTCCACAAACAAATACAAAAATAATAATAATTACCAGGCAAGAATGCATTAAGGGCTTCCATTCCAAGAATCAATGATCCTAAACTCTGCCCTAACAGAGTAAAGGTAGGATAATTATCTGCCTCAACCCAACCACGTTTATGAAGATAAACGAATTCAACTGGCTCTGGCAATTCAATATTGAGTCGCTGACGAACTCTGTTAATAATTTCTTCAGGAGAGGCTTCTAGGTCTCCTGTATAAACTACCACTTTGGTCCCAGGATACCTGAAAACACATCAAGTTTGACAGTAAATTTTAAATGCTACTAACATATTTGCATCAGCATAGGGGCAGTTAATGTGAAATTTACCTCGTTTGTAAAGCACGAACAGCACACCAGAGAACTCTTTCACCACCAGCTCCAGTATTACAGTATGGATGGAAAAATGCAACGCTGATTGGTTTATCACTATTACTTTCCATTTCCCGCTTTTTTCTAAAATGCTGAAATTGGAAGAATATTGTTGAAATACTGCTTTATAGTGTTTAATTATAGAGAGGCACCTGAGGTGCTGGAGATTTACCTTTCTTGAAGTTACAATCATAACTGGCAATACAACACTTAAAACACACAACAACAGGAGCAGCAGGATTGTCAAAACTTTAATGGCAATCCACAATGGGTCCCTGAAAAAGAATACAAAGTTTTTGATGTTTTTTCAGAATAAGAAAATGTAAAGAGAGAAGACAAATTTACTTACATAATGCAAGAAAAACAAGCCATGTTTGTCTCTGTTTTAAAAAAGTATTTATTATTGTTGATATATATTTAAGGTTGCTTATCACCAAAACTCGAAAATCAGTGGTTAATGAACCAAGGAACTCTAGTTTCCTACTCGCTGAAGGAAAGAACTAGGGTTTCCCTAGCATTTGCAGCTGACGCGCCAAAGACCACGTCATTGAACTGACTTATGGTTCGCACATCTGTCGACGTTTAGAAAACAAATACAGACAAATAGAATTAAGGATTGAAACAGATTTATCGGCGTCGACTGCTGTGTCGGTTGTTTGCTTTGCTGTTTAGTTTTTTACTGCTTCTGCTATCATTGTTCCCAACACCAAAAGCAAAATTTCCCAGTAGTGTCATTCTTAAAAACCGGTTTCAACGTTTAGAAAAGACATGATTAAGTCTTTCAGGCACAATTTATTTCAGTGGTGTCTGAATTATTTCTGAAAAAGGAGATGAGAGCTAGCTAGGATGTTGGCAATCCACTAATACTCTAGAACATGTTATTGAAACTTAATTAGAAGGCCGTTGCAAATATGGCTGCCTGCGACAGCCATGTGTTGTGGTTTGTGGTCTTCTGCTATTTCAAGTCATAACATTTGCCCAACTGCTGAATTGCCATTAACTTTTGATTAATTTCGACAAAGTGTAGCCAATATGTCATCCGTATATCACGAACCAGACGACCCTAGATTTAGAATCACGCCTTTTCAGCAAATGGCAGCTTCTTGCACCGGCGCTTTGTGCACTTCACTCTTAGGTAAGTGTGAAGGTGTGAAGTCTGGGTTAGGCAAGACCGTGGAGTAACTTATGATGCAACCGTGCACAATTTTAAGTTTGTAAAAGATTGGTTTGTTTAGCCACATATCCTACTCTTGTTTTCTTGCCGTTTGTCTTCTATTACATAACGCTTTTGGCCCGCTTTCAATTCTCCTTAAGTTTTACCTTGTAATTATGTACTTTTCTTTCTATCCCAAATGCTATTTTTTAAAAAGATTTCTACATACTATTATGTATTTTTTACAGTTACTCCACTTGATGTTGTCAAAATTCGACTGCAAGCACAGCAGAAAGCCCTATTATCAAACAAGTGTTTTGTGTATTGCAATGGATTAATGGATCACCTCTGTCCATGTGTTACTTCTTCAAGTGGTCAGACAAATTGGTACCACAGGAATGGACAGTTCAGTGGCACTATTGTATGTAGAATCCTTGATTGATTTTGTTATATGTTTTTCACATTTTTTTTACCCCATTTAATTTTTTCTCTCTTTTAGGATGCTTTTGTGAAAATTTCTCGAGCCGAAGGAGTAAATTCATTATGGAGTGGTCTTGGGCCAACTCTTGTATTAGCTATACCAGCCACAGTGCTTTATTTTGTAGCTTATGAGCAGATACGAACTAGAGTGAAAGATTTCCACTCCAAACAAGTTGGGAAAACGGACCAACCATTTTGGATTCCATTATTTGCTGGAGCATCTGCTCGAGTTGTGAGTGCTTCAGTTGTGAGCCCATTAGAGCTGATACGCACTAAAATGCAATCGCAAAAACTAACATACTTCGGTAAGTCACGAAAAAAAGGTTCTTACATGTATCAATATGAAAAAAAGTTTTAACACACAGATTCTAAAGTGTGCTCTCATTAAATTACAGAGGTAGGCGGTGCCTTGCGCTCCCATATTCAAGTTCATGGACTTATTCCAGGCCTTTGGAAAGGACTTGGTTCAACATTGTTACGTGATGTGCCATTTTCAGGTAAACTTATTAACTCACTTTCTCTTCATTGAGACTTACCTACTAAATGTAAGCTCCAAGCACTGTAACTGATTTTTGAATTTTAATAGGAATATACTGGCTTAACTATGAAGGACTAAAGTCAGCTTTCAATCAGCAGACTCCTACATTTGGCTTTAGCTTTGGTGCAGGTGCTATTGCTGGATCGGTATGTTATCCTCTAGTACTAGCAATTTTCAGTTTTGATGATTTTTAAGAATTTTCCTGGATTTTTTTCTGTTTTGTTTTTCTAGATTGCTGCTGTCTGTACCACTCCTTTTGATGTTGTCAAGACACATCAGCAAATTGAATTGGGAGAAAAGGAACTTTATGCTGGTAACATATCTATTCATTTTCTATTTTTTTCCTGTTGCAAACTTCTATTTTCTGATGAAGATAATTTGTCAATATGTCTCTTTAAATTATTTATTTTCTATTTCTGCTGTCGGTGCTCTGCTGCATTTGTGATCCTTTGGCTACGACAGATTTAGAAACAGGTAATTTATGTTTGGAGACATGTTTTGTTTGATGCTTCGTAACCTATCAGTGGTTTGTTCCTCTTTGTGTTTGATGTGGGTAAACTAAACTGTAATTTTGGCTGACAAATTATCTTCATCAATTAATAGGGTTTTCTAACAAATCCAACCCACTTCATCTTACCCATTCATTTATATTCTTCATCTCTTTTCAGGATCAAAGAAAATAGCCAATGAGAAAAATCTGCAAGAGAAACCGATAAGTATGTGTTTTTCAATATATAATTTTCTAAAATATAAATCGTATGTTAGATGAGTAATTTTAATTATTCCAATTTTAGGAAAAACCACTCACAGTATTCTGCGGCAAATATGGCAGCAGAATGGAATTTCAGGCATCTTCACTGGTGTTGTACCGAGAGTGGCCAAAGTAGCTCCAGCGTGTGCTATAATGGTGGCAACCTTTGAATATGGCAAGGGCTTCTTTGAAAGGTACAATGCTGAAGAATACTATAGAAAGCAAAGGTGTGTATCTGTGGGTTCTTGTTTTGCTTCTCCTCTCTTATATTATTCTTTAAGAGCTGTCTCCAATTGAAATTGTTTTGTTTTTTTCAGAAGTGTTCAACTTGAATAAGTTCTATCAACATACAGCATGAAACTGTTAGGATGTTATCTGTGATAATTTCTGATGAAATGTGGTACCTAGAGAATGCTCTTGCATGTGACATAAGTTTAATGACAAATATGATAAATAATTATCATTTTATACGAGACAACCATCTGACCTCTGTTACTGGATGTAGCTAGAGCATACCAGGAAAAATCTTGTTATGTTAATGCATGAGCTTGTAAATAAAGTACAATCATCCGTGTAGTTTATATCTAATGAAAAGTAAAGTTTATTTTAGTAATGCAACTTGCAACACTCGTATCTATGGAGAGGGCGCCTCGATACCTGCTTCCTTCTTCAGACCTGACGACGATTGTGTCTCAGGATATCGCATTACATCCAAACACAGCGACCAGCTCCGTTGTCGGGAAAACGGCGCGCGTCTCCCGGTTCATTGTTGAGCAGCATGTCGACCAAGCACACGCGGGGCCCGGAGCCGACCTCCTCCACAGAGTGCCCGGGAGGCAGGCAACCCACTGGCTGCACGCGCGCGCGCTGCCTACCCAGCACGGCGGCTCCCGTGACGCGCCTGCTGCCCCTAGCCGAGGGCCTGCCGGCGGGCCTGCCGCTGCCGCTGCCCGCGCTGCTGCCCCTGCCCGGCGCGCGCTCGGCGTGTCCGTGGTGCGGCGAGCAGCGCGCCGACGCCGCGGCCCTGGAGCTGCACATGACCCAGTGCAGGCCGCCGGCCCCGGAGCCCGCGCCCACCGCCGGCCAGGACGCCGTGCGCTACCGCTACGTGCGCGTGCTGCAGCAGGACAGCCAGCCGGGCGGGCGGGCCGTGAGCCTCGTCCCGCTGTTGCTGGACAAGCCCTTCAGCTGCTCCGTGTGCGGACACACCTCCGAGTCGCAGGCTGCACACCGGAAGCACGCCAGGTAGTTGTCGATCACGACCAATCAGGACGTGATCTGGGTTGGGTGGGGTGGCTGCCGCCGGGCCTGGCGCCTCACTTACGCGTGTCGCAGGACGCACTGGCCGGAAAGGCAGCACGCCTGCCCGCACTGCGGCCAGGCCTTCCGGCTGTTCACCTACCTCCAGCGCCACCTGGTCAAGCACGAGGGGCACCGCTGCATCGACTGCGCGGAGACGTTCTCCACGGCCGCTGCGCTGCGCCAGCACCGCGCGACCCACCCGGACACTGCGGGACCTGCGGAGCGGCCGCGGCCCTACGTCTGCGCCACCTGCGGCAAGGTGCTCGCGGGGACTCGGAGATAGAGACTCGCTGACCGCTCTCCGCACTCGCGCGTGTGCCCGCCGACCTAATCTAGGACCTGTCCGCAGTGCTTCCGCACCGTCGGCTACCTGGCGGTGCACGAGCGCGTGCACTCGGGCGAGCGGCCCTTCGCATGCTCGTGCGGCAAGGCGTTCGTGCGCCGCTGCAACCTGCGGGCCCACCTCGTGTCGCACACGCGCGAGCGGCCGCACGAGTGCGCGCTGCCCGGCTGCGGCCTCAGCTTCCAGTTCCGCAAGCAGCTCGACCAGCACCAGCTGCAGTGCGCCGCGGGCGCCGCACATAGGGTGCCGCCAACGGACAACTCGATTGTTTCGGTAAGTTCATTTTTATCAGTCTTCGATACCTACAAAATACGACTTATCACAAAGGATTCTCTAATCGAGCAAACTTATGGCCCTAGGCGTTTGTTTAATAATCCTAATATCACAGTCCAGTTTACACATATTAAATGGGTAAGAGAGCAGTCGTAGGCAAAAAGAATTCTATGTCATTTTCCCCTGCAGAGTGACGATAAGGATCAAGCTGAAATTGTTGTCCTTGATACCCCGGAGGCACGAAGTACGATCCCAATGTCCAGTGGAAGTGTGCCACCGAGCTTAAACGGAAAGCCCCTCGAAAGCGCGACTCCAAACGCCACCACCACAAGTACCGCATCTGCCTCGGCCAAAGTCCGCTCACCATTCGGACAACTGACCCATGTCTCCGGTCCAACACCAGGCAATGATGCCCCCAAGGGAGGGAGCAGGCTAGAGGCGGGTCCCGTCTCCGGTTTGTGTGTGTTTAACGTGCTGACGAGGGACGAGAGCGGGCCCCCATCGCTGCCAGGCCTCCACGAAGGAGCCCGGGTCCAAGCCCGTGTCCTGCCCTTCGCCTGTCTGCCCGGTGTGTCCTATCAGCAGCAGATCGCAGCAGCATCTCCAGACCAGGGGCCGGTCCCTAGGCGACAGTCGCCTACCACACTGGTCCCCGTGACACGACCCGTGCACCACGACGCGCACGGCTGCCTTCCCTTGGTGTGCGCGGGCGTCCCCACGGGAACCCCTTGCCTCCGCGTGCTGCTTCCCGCAGCAGCTGCGCCGGGTGCCGTCCATGCCGTGAGGCGGGTCCCGGACGCCGCGCGCTTCCCCGCCCTGCAGGCGGCAGCGGGGTTTCTAGCGCCAGGGCTGCAGCGTCGTCATCGAAACCCCGCCATCCTGCGAGGAGCAGGCACTGGCAGTGGCCTGGACGCACCGGCGCAGCCAGACAGCCAGGCGTGGGGGTCACAGCACGCCCGCGACGATCCGGAGTTCATCGACATCGAGACCTTCGCCGCCCTGCACCCCCAGTTTATCTGCAAGGAGAGAGTGATTCAGTGACAGTAGGGCGCTGATTTGGGGCGGGGGCGTTATGTTAATGGCCGTGCTGCAATTGGTTTAACGTGGAACCCGAAACTCGAATTCGGGCTAAACCTAGGGATTAGCGAGGCTCTTCAGCCTCTGTTGTTTTAGCTGGACTTTAGACTTCAGAGGAAGATCAGTGATGATGTTTTAATTTTATGACTCGCAGTTTTGTTGTTTTGTTTGTCGGATATGTTGCGATGTAAGAGATGTATACCTATAAATGACGCCTCGGATGTTACGAGGCGGAAAACACCAAAACGATTAGCAGGTTTAACGGCACATTAAACGGCGCCTCAGTGACTCGGGCCTCGCGTGCCACGCGTTCGGCCGGACTCAGCGCCGACGGTACGTACGTACCTCCGGGTACTCTTTGGTGCAATCCTCTGGTGTCCGCCGTGCACCAGGTTGGTCTGCGTGTCCAGGACCGCTCGTCTCCGCTCCTCCATGCCGACTATCTTGGTCCAGATGGGGCCGCCCACGCGCTCGGCAAAGATGGCGTCCCAGAAGCCGATGATGTCGCGACGGTAGTTCCTCTCGACTCTCGGCTCCTTGTCGATGCTCATGTAGGCCTGCTCCATGGCCGTGAACGGCGGCCAGCTAAGCCGCGGGTCGAGCGGCGAGCCCCGCGGGGTGGGCGAGCTGGCGGGAGCGTGCACCAAGGCGTCAGTTGTGGAAGCAACCACCTCATGCCCGCGGCGAAGTGAGCGCAACTCACCCGGTCTTGACGAAGTTGGCCAGCATGGTGGAGAACATGTCTCGCACCTTGTACTCGGTGGCGTTGGGCTTGAGCGTCCGGCTGTCGGGACTGACGTTGACCCTCCACACGTAGTTCAGTTCGTCGGCGTGGCACGCCGCTGTGGTACGATAAAGGAGTTTAAACTTGCGGCGCGGGCCCGGTTGAGAATCAAGGACAGAGGGTAAGAACTACCTTTGGTCTGTATCCGGAGGAGGTTCCTGAAGGTGTTGAGAGCGCCGACATACTCAAAGCGATAGATGTAGAGAGGGGCGGCTGTCGGGTCGGCCGCCAGAAAGCGCGCCAGCTTCAGTGTGTCGAGGTAGATGAAGAAGCTCGTTATCATCTGGGGAAACAAAACAATAGCATCACTGTTGCCGCGTACCATATTCCGTCAGCCTTGTCCGGTCGCGCACGCGCCCACCTCGAAGAACTTGTCGTCATTCTTGTTCGCGAGGGTGATGGGCTTCTCGTGGCCCATGTACAGGCGGCGCACGCGGTGCCCCATCTCCTCCGCCTCGGCTAGGCTCAGGTGCGGCAGCACGTCATCCGGGACCAGGCAGGTGATGTTGCGGTCCGCGAGCCGCAGGCTCTCCACGCTGGGGTCGCGTGTCAGCCCTGGTGGCACAAGCGGGGCGAGCGGAGCCCGTCAATCAGCTGTTCGGAGGGCGATACCGGGAGGTCGAGCGATACACTGATAAAAATCTTTTCTGTATGAAAATATTAAAGGTTTACCACAAGAATATTTTGTCCTTTAAATGCAGACTTAAACGTTTCTCACTGTATGAATATTTTTTTTGCGTATTGGCCGAGGTATGGGCAGACATTTGTCATTTTCTTATAAGAACTATAGTGCACCTCAAAGTTTGCCAATAAGAAGTAAACATTCTTGTGATAAGACATTTCCACATTCTCTGCAGGACCACCTTTGTATCCCTGTAAAAACAAAAACCTATCAACGACAACTTTAACACTACACTGTGCTTACGAAGAGTATAGCAATTTTGTGATGATCTCTCTCAACACTCTCATGGATCATGTTCGTGTGACTTTGTAGCTGACAAGCCGAAAATCACAAACCACAAATTGCCGCCCGTAACGTCGATTCGACACGCTATTATTGACTCTAAACGCCGTGGTAACCTTGCTCGCAAAAATTTTGTCATTCCCATTTCAACGCCGAATTTTGGTCTCCCTTTAAAAGAAGGTCAAATTTTGGCCGATTTGAAGGCCAGATTTTGGCGTTTCACGTAAAGTATTGGAAGGCCATGAAAACTGCACTCCAGCGTATGTGACGTCTGCATAACCTGTCGGGGTGAGTCTGTCTTGTAGCCCTTAGACAAATTCCGTTACCAACCCTGCCCTGAGAATGAGCGAAAAAAGTACGCCACCCCTTAACAAATTTCGCTATTTGTGTACGGCTCCTGGCGGGCAACTCCCGGACCCCGGATCCCATGAATTCCCTCACCAGAGAATATGATGAGCGCCTCCCCGCTGTTGAAACCCATGAGGGTGGGCACCTTGGCTTGCTTGCCGGCGCTGAGCATCGCCAGAGGGGACTCCGTGATGATGGGCTCCTCGGAGGCGTCCTCGACCTCCTCGGTCTCCTCGATCACCGGGACGAACGGCACTCTCCCGGTTATAAAGCGCAGGTCCTGTTCAATGTGTATCGTTCAGTTCCGGCAGGAGGGCAGGAAAAGACAATGGGAAGCAACGCGACATACCTCTGGGAGAAGCGACTTTTCGTGAAAGGCCACGAGGGTCTGTGGCCGGACGTTCCTGAGGCAGCGCACCAGCTCCCGGGCGGGGAGGTTGCCCTTGCAGTTGACTGCGGGGGCGAAGTGGCGCGCGCGGCGCGCCGCTTTGGCCGCAGTTTCCGTAGCCCAGAAGTGCGCGGCGGAGCCGCTGGACATGATGGCTCCGCGAAACAGACCTGCGGGGTCCGAGTGAGTGTGAAGGACGACCGCCTGCGGAACCGGGGGTAGGCAGTCCCGTCGAGCAGCCGTGCTCGGCCGGTGGCCTACGCACAAGGCGGCTGCGGGCCCCGGTGCATAGGCAGTCCCGTCGAGCAGCCGTGCTCGGCCCGGTGGCCTACCCCACAGGCGGTACGTACCCTTGGTGGACGGCGACAACAGGTGCAAGTGCGTGCAGACGGCCCCTGCGCTCTCCCCGTACACCGTGATCTTGTCCGGGTCGCCGCCGAACGCCGCGATGTTCCTTCGCACCCAGTGTAACGCCGCCCGCTGGTCCTTGACGCCCGCGTTGCCCGGCACACCGGACCCACGACCCAGGCTCAAGAAACCTGGGGCCACAAGGAATCGTAGGAAGAACGATGAGTTGGACGTTTTGCATGCGATGGCGCAACGCGTGAATCGAGCCAATTCTGTCCGCCCGGCGCGGGTGCCCGCCTCTTATCTCGTATACTGACCCAGTGGCCCGAGGCGGTAGTTAAAGGTGACCACAACCATCCCGTGGTCAATGAGAAGGTCGGGGTCGTAGAACGCGCGGCCGCCCTCGCCCCACACGAAGCCGCCGCCGTAGATCCAGAAGAGCACCGGGAGTCCCTTGCCGCCACCGGCGTCCTGGGGCAGGAGAAAGGCAAGACGGTACAGCTCCACGCCCTGCCCTGCCGGGCCGGCCACGCCCACCGACCTTCCGGGGCCTGGTCTCTCACCTTGCCGAGGGCACTCTGGGGGGTGTACACGTTGACGAACAGGCAGTCCTCGCCGGCCGACAGGATGTTGGTCACGACCTGGAGGAGCCACGGCCGGGCTCGCCACAGCCCGGGCAGCTCGTCTCCGTGCAGCGGCTCGATGGTCCTGGGCACGCGCGTGACCTGGGGGTCAGAGGCGGCGTCGTGACGTGTGTGCGGGAGTTCGTCCGGCTGATATGTCCCCTCGGCTGAGCCGCCGAGCTGGATCGGACCGCCCGTCAAACACCGACTAATCGACTTCGCGCCAATGACGGTGCGAAACACGCATCAGCGGCGCGTGGCGTGCGCCAACCGCGGGGCCGCCAGAGTGTTACGACACGGTCACCGGGTCAGCGTTGTTTTCCTCCTTGCGATGCTCACCCTCAGTTTGTTTGCGTGGATCAGCGCGGACCCTGAGATGACCCCCATGACCCCTCCCCCCCTCCCCATACTCCGAAAGGTCCAGGGGTTGCGTATTGATCACTGTTTCTCTGTGTCCCGGATGACCGTGCCGATGAACCTGCTAAATTAACACGTTTCGCACCGACCGGCGTGACCTTATGGGGAAGGAGAGACAGCCAAGGCAGAGAGCAACGGCCCGAAGAGTTAACTCACCAAATGACACCTGTGCCACAGTGTGCTCCTCCCTTTGAAGTCTGGCCGAGCACTGCCACCTGCCACTTCCGTCGCCTCCGGCGGGGCAGCGACCCCATGCCAGACGTCATACAGCCACAGCCTCCCGATAGGGAAGGGCTGGACCGGACCGGACTGCACCGCGCACCTGACCCGGTTAACCTTGCCTCCCCCCCCCCTCAGGCGGGAGCAACAAGGGGAGGACCATAAAGCAGGAGTAATGCTCAGCTCTCCCCCGCCCGGCAAAGCCTCGATATGCGGAGACAATGCGGGTCGCCTTTATTCCAGGTACGTACAACGCACACTTGGGCAGACTAGCCTAAGGTGCTTTTTCCTCTCCCCCTCTCACCCGTAAACTCTGCCTCTGCCTCTTCTGTGCCAGAGGGAAGCCAGAGAAGCTATGGGGAGCTTGTTTTGTGATTGCGTCTCAGTGGGGCCCAGCCTGTCCAGCCCTTAGAGTCTGCTGAGGGTACCCCCATGCCACGCAGCCGTGTCCTCACAGCAAAGTGCGCACGCGCAGTGCAACGCCGCCGGGGGCTCGCACCGCGCGTCCTTGTTTACCTCTCCGATTGTGTCGAACCCCGCGTCTGCCCGGTCGCTGAGTAAACAAACCTCGGCGCTGGTCACTTGCTTCTTTCGACCGGCTTCTCTGCACCGAAAGAAACGTGTTCTTGGCGCGAGAAATGCGCTTGAACCGTGCAAAGAACATATACCCAGGTAGCTGAACTGCATCATGACTGCATTATATGTGCAATCTAAAATGCACCTTAAAGTGCATAAAGCGCTTAAAATCCGCCTGAGGCGCCTAGAATTCGTATTTGAGATTGGACATATAATGCAGTCATGATGCATTTTTTCTAATTTTGCTACCTCGGTATTGACTTACAATGTCACAACCGACCATAAAGCTTTTCTACTTGCTGTAGGAGGGTGAATTTGAAATTTGCTTAGCGGGGGTGTGTTGTCTCTCTCGCTCTTTAGTGGGCGAGTGATCACCCTCGGGTACTCACGATGCGCGTGAGGTTGAGGAGGGGCTGGGTGCAGATCCTCCCTTCCCGCCGCGCGTCGCGCAGGCCGGCCCATGCCGCGGGGGGCCGCGGGGCCTGCAACACACGCAGCAGTCATCAACCTCCGCCTCTTGTCCCTCCGGCCGCAGGGCTGCAGGACCGCGGGGCCGCCGGGTCACAGGGCCCTCTGCACCGGGACTGGAACCTGTTATCGTCGCGGGAGAAGGGCGTGGTCGTAGAGCGCGGCCCGGACGGACGGAAATGGAAAAGAACAATAACTCAAACCCTGGAAGTTAAACAGTGTACATTGTAACTCTCTTAAACGAGCGTTTAGCAGCAACCGAAACTGTAAACGGCCCATCGTACAACATGACCGAATTAAAATTTGGAATCAGCGTATTAACTTCTGTCTCATCAATGATTGCTGATTTATCAGCATACAATGTAACCGTCGAGTTTCACCGGCCGCTGTGGCGTGAGCCATGCACCGAAAAATGAGCATCCATGTAATGTGCTCTGATTTATCAGCGCCCTTGTCATGAGCCCTGATTAATCAGTGTTCATGACATATCAGGCAGTGTTGCCAGGAAGGTAAGCAAAAACTGCCTAACACACAGATATATGGGGCGGTCGGTATCTACGCCTGGCTGCTATGCAACATCTACCGGCTGATTTAGAAAAGTCGCAGGTGCGGGCGGGTTTGGGTAACCCAAGGGGCTGTGTCGTCTTACGGCACTTACGGGCATAGCGGGTAGGCAAATTAAAATGTGAAATGCTTTCGACTGAACTGCTGTACCGGGTGTAACTGTGAATGTGCAGCAGTATTGCGGGTTTGCCTACCCATCTCGCCCGTAAGGCGCCATGGCCCCTGCAGCCCTAGCGGTTATGCAATCCCGCAACACTGCTGCGCATTCACAGTTACACCCACCTGCTATGCTTCAACGTTACACTAGAGATGTGCAATATAATTTGACTCCATTAGGTTCAATTTAAATCTCTACGCCAACCCTTTGACATCTAACTCCGAATAATGAGATCACTCACTGTGGAGTTGTCATGGTACCTTGAATCGCAGGTCACCGATGGGCGGCGCTGCGTAGGGGATGCCGGAGAAGGCGTGGTACTTAGTGCCCTTGCTTGAGACCAGCGTGCGACCCAGGAGCCGACCCTGTTCCACAGACACCTCGGGGTTCTCGGGTGCCTCGGCCCGGTGCGGTCTCCTGTTGGAGGGGTCAAAGCCCGCACTCGAAACACCTGCAAGAAAGGACATCAGTGGGCTGTGCGCGTAGTTGTACAGTGCGGTGCGCGGCGAGGCTTGGCGTCGCGTTGTCAACGTCCCGGCGAGAAGACCGCAGAGATGTTTTGCGCCAGCTATTCAAGGGCCTAATTTCCTTTTTTACTCGGAATGACTTTCCTCCAACGGACCGAGCATTTGTTTCCCCTCAGTGTAATTTTCTTTTGGCACATGGAGTGCGGCGTGACCATTATTTGGCCACACTCCCTTGTTATGTTAATCACATTCATACTATCTCCACTCAAGTGTTAAATGTAGCGCTGGTACACTACAGCTTTTGATCATCAAGTCAAAGCACAAAGCAAGCACAGAAAAGTCTATACTCTGTCTCAGTGCCACTAATGTTCTTGATTGTCTCTGCGGAATTTACCGTACGTTCAACATTGAATTGATTCAAAGACGAGGCTCAAGTGCTGTGTCAATACAAATGTGTACATTGTCTACTTTAAACAAAGCGTACATAGCATGTATACTTTTAATTAATGTATATAGTCATGCATGTCCATGTACGCTTTTATAAATGTATACATACTCATGGCCATGTACGAATTTATAAAAGCGTACTCTATTATTAAAGTGTACATGCCATGTACGCTTTATTTAAAGTATACAATGTGCACATTTGAATTGACAGAGTAATCACAACACTACTGCTTGCAAGCTTGATCCCATTGCCGATCAACGAGTGCTATTTTCTGTGTGCAAGCTTCAGGGGACATTGGTCGCATGCAGGAAGTTCGCCTGCTTTGTAACGCATCATATCTCATCTATGGTCCAAGTGCACTGTTAGAAAAACCTACAGTTATTCATACAGGATGGCCAGTAAATTTTTGCCAGGTCTTGACCATATTAATTTTTATGGATCGGACCGTATTTAATTTTACAGTATAGTGATACAGTTCGAACCGTATTTCAGATTACGGTCCAAAACTGTAGCTTGCCAGACCGTAAAATTAAATACACTCCGACCGTATTCTTAAATATAGTCTAGTCTAGAACTGTAAAGCATCAGACCGTAAAATAAAGTACGGTTAGGACTGTAAAAACAAATACGGTCCAACTGTATAAATAAATACTGTCCGGCTTGTAAAATAATTTACAATTCGACCGTAAAATAAAATACAGTAAGGACCGTATGTCTACCGTATTTGATTAGTTTTTTTAACCGTGTGACACAACAATGTGACGATAAAAGCATAACTCCCCGACCAATTGTGTGCCATAAAATAAAATAAAGCAGCTGAAATGCGGCGTGCTGAAAAACAGTATGTGGGAGGCTGGCGGCGCTACCGCGCAGTCATCATCAGCTTACCGCGCTGCCACTTGTGGCTGGCGAACAGAATGGGGTTCGTTCCTCTGATGGCGAGGCTCAGTGCACACATCACCTGGAGGATGCGCATCTTCTTCGTTCGACGAAGGCGTTTTATAGTCGGATCTGGAATTACGTGTTGCGTATATTTAAGAAATACGATGACAAGAGCGCTTGTAGGAGAGGACAACATAGCTTGTTATCTCCCCCACTCCTTCCTGAAACGGTAGCTGAATATCGTAAATTGGGGTAATATGTATGCAGCTCGAGAGACTACGAAAGCAAGTACTGTCCGAGGACAGCATTAACGTCCGAAAATGGGGCTATAGGACTGCATTCCATGAGAAATAGTGACATCGAAACAATATGAAGACAATATCAAAACAGTACTTTTTACGTCATAGATAAACCGATTTTCGTGCCAAGGTCGATAAAAATCTGGTCTAGAAATCATCAACAAAAATATTGTGTCTCATACCTTTCTGATATAGATTCGAGAAAAAATATTTTCTCGCGTTGTGTAGTATTAGGTGGCTGATTAACCCAGCACACTTTTGTAGTTATACTGTACCGCACGCACGAGTGCGGGCGGGCTTGCCTATCGCCTCGGTCCACGGGGCCTGACGCGTCGAGCGAGTAGGCAACCCACCCGCACGTAGTAATGCAGTACTGCATAACTACACTGTTAGAAATTTCCACGGAATTTTGAACGGAATTGTCAAGAAATTTTTTTCACGGAATGTACCGTAATTTTTCCGTATTTCTACGGAAACCATACGGAGAAACCGTAATCTTAAGTTACGGATAAACCGTAAGATTTTCCGTAAAATTTTGACTTATTGATTAGGGAAAATAATAAATTGCACTGTAAGTCGAAGAATTGGATTTTGAGAGATACGAGAGCGTAAAGTTATGGTTTTGCGAAAGAGGCAATAATATAAATCTCTATGGACAGCTCAATTGTTTAAACTATTTGTTTCAAAAATTATTTAATATTTAATTTGACGGGGAAAATGTACGGGATGCACCGTTATTTGAAATACGGACAAGTCCGTATCTTTAAATTACAGTCATCCCGTTACGGTTTGGTACCGTATTTGGATTTTACGGTGAGTTCCGTAAGAATTCCGTAATTAGCCTACGGAATTTCTAACAGTGTACAGAGGGTGCGGGGGGTAAATCAGCCACCTGGTATGTGGCGGCATTTTTCGGACACCTGTTGATCATGGTATTCCAAATTCACCCACAAATTCCATGTATGTACTGTCAATAACGTACCTGTCTTTTCCTGTGCCAAACGAAGCGTGGGAGGGTTTTGGAGCAGCGCGGGGAACGATCCGAGCGACTTGGTCGGACCGCACTTTACAACGGACTGACTATCCGCCAGGCCATTCCGTACCTGGACCTGCAGCCGGACCACGGACGGTCCACGGCGGCGCGCTGCGACCGGCGGCCGGCGGCCGGGGGGCCGGCCGGCAGACCGGGCCGGGCCGGACCAGCCTAAGGTCCAACTTCTGAAAGAATACCGTGTGTCAGGGCTATGACACAGGGGAGGGGCCACAACTCCGTCAATCACAATCCACTCTAGCAATCTACGAAAAATCTTCGGCAATCTCTGGGCAATCGAACCCCAAAGCCATGCATTTTGCCGTCCCTCAGGGTGGAAGTAAAGCGTTTTGCCTAGTTACAGGCGTTTTATGCCCTAATGCAAAATATTCGTCTAGCATTCTGGCAATCCTGGCTCTTGGTGGTGTGTACTCTACAAGGGAGTTGAGGCCCCCTTGGTGTAGGTTCGCCAGGTTCGCCTACCCTAGGAGCCACGGCAGATGGAGCTCGTCCCGTTCCCCTCTAAAAGTCGGTATCAGGGCCGTATCGGGTATCGGGCACGAGGGTCTAATCACTTATAGTGTACTGAATTTACCTAGAATGCCACCACCTTTACTCCGTTAAGAAATGGAATGGGCATTCACACACCTACCCGTGTGCGACATTAAGACGTGCGTTTCCAGTGTATACTCATGCACTGGTAAAACAATGAAGAAATTTGTACCGTTGCACTCCAATAGACCAGACCTTTCCGTCCACAATTTGGCTACAACGCAAATCTCCATGGTAAAATTGTAATTTTGGCAAATTTTCGAAAAGCAAAAACGCTTGGCCCCGGTAAATTTTCGAAGAAATCCAGTGGTGGTGAGTAGTTTTGTTGACAGACACTCAAAACACGGTTTACCTCATAAGTATAAAATTCTACTTGCGGGCGCCCACGTTTGTGGGTAAAAAAGTCTCCTGGCTCATGTGTCCAGGAAAACATCAAGTGGTCCACCATTTTCACCCCTCGCTAATGTATCACCCACAGTACACATTACTGGTTGGGCAGCCCCGGCAGTAAAAGTCCCCGCGCACGCGAGAGAACGATGACCGAGAGCCCGGCCCGGCACAGACCCCGCAGTATACTCAGGGCGGGCCGCCGGCTTCACGCGGCTGCTTGGCGGGCCAGCCTACCCAGCGCTAGGCAGGCGCTAGGCAGGCGCCAGCTGTCAGGAGCCGCCGCCGCCGCCGCAGCCCCTTGAAACGTCTTTTGTCGCTGCCCGGTAAACTCGCCGTTGATAAGTTCAACCAAGGTGCGTGTTACCAAAACAAATCCTTCGTGATTCAATTAACACCCCCATGGTGGGTGCTTTTAATGCTTTAATCGTAAACTGCCGTTTTAATCGCTACTTCTGGAAGCTTGTATGACTCACTCGCATCCCTGTCTCCCCCCC